GGGGGGGGGGTTCATTTCACAGCAGAAACAGTAAGAGCTTCTTTTTATAACTGTCTTTGTTTGCATCCATCTCTATCCTCCTCCTCCTCCTGCTTCTCTCCACAGCCTGCCTGGGTGAAGCATCTGCGAGTATTGTCTGCATAGAGGACATCAAATGGCCTGCCTTCACACAGATGCAGGAGTTGCTGCACCGTTCAGAAGTGCTGCTGTCTCAGCGGCTGAGCGAAGAGATTAGAAAGATATCAGCAAGGCAGGCAGGAAGGAGAGAAACGTCGACAAACCGCCGCTCTGTTTCCCCCCGCCAAAAAACAACTATCGGACACTCTGGAACCTCATGTGATCCTCCAGACGATTTTTCACGTCAGCCCTTCTTTGGTTTTGACACGGATCTCAAAGCCAAAAGCAATTTCCTCTGTTGCTACTTTTGGCTGAGTTACGATAGGCATCTCCATCCCTGTGAAGGGGCTGATAACAGAATCATTTGGATTGTAATGAGTGTCTGGCATCACTTGTAGAGATGTACTACTGGCAGAAGTGAAATGTATAAAAATGCTCAACCTAGAGCCCAAATGTAGATTTGACATCTTCATTTTGAACATCTCCCATATTCCTACATCCCAAAAATAACACACTTAACCCACACAGCTGAAAATATGTATGTGACTCATATTTGGGTGAGACAACTGTGCAAAGCACCGCCATCCTCCACATGATCAACAATAGGTACGTGTGAAGGCCTCCTCATTCTCAGCCTTGAGCATACTATGTCTTCATTAACAAACGATAGTATCTGCACCTAATTTGATTATACCAACTAATGGCAGATTTCTTATCACATCCCCACCATCTCTCCCTCCCTGCTTTACTTGATCAAACCCATATTTTCATGATTATTGCTTCTTAGACTGGCAGGTGGGACGTAGAAAAGCTTTTTTCCAGACAGGATCTGAAGGCATTCGGAGCGACACTGGCTGAAAAATCTCTGCTGGGAGCGGAGCATCTTTACAAAAAAGATCACTGGGCTGCGTCATGTCAGTCCTGCAAGTTGTGAAAACAACCCGGGAGAAGGGTAAATGTCTCCGACAGCTCTCATGAAAGGATTCAGCCAAGTGGTTTGCCGAGCGTGGTCTCATTTTATCTGAGGACAGTGGGGGGGGGGAAAGAAAAATGTGTGTGAGTGTTTGGGTACCTTGGAAGTGGAAAGCTCTAGACTCGCTGTGGAAGCCTTGGACCTGAGTAACTCCATCAAAGCCCTCTCCGAGCGTTAGCTCATCCAACACGTCGATGCGCAGGGCAGGGTCAACCCCAAAACCTGCAACTTATTAACAAACACAAACATTATCATTATTCTTACTGGCTGGACACACTATTTGAAAAAAAAAAAAATCTTGCTTGCGTCAAAGATGACACGCTGCCTGGTCAGTTAAAGCCGATTATGTCTGCAAGCCTTTAATAAAATAAATATATTTTTAAAAAAACTAAAAAAACACATCTTCTGACCTAAAGGCTGCATGATTGAGTCAAATCAGAGAAAGGTTTGCGTCCTACCTGAGGAAGTGCAAAACATGCAGAGAACCAGGAATAGCTGTAATAATCCCATGATGACTGACTTTAAAAAAAAAGAATAAAAATAAAATTAGTCCATGATTTATCCAATTCTCAGAGACACTGCTGTTCAATCAGAGGCGAATGACGTATCACCCTCGCGCGCGAGACTATCACAAATCCCAAATGCCGAGCGGAGGCATCATCTCAACTTTAGATGCCCAATGTTGCGAGAAAAACAACAACAACAACAACATTTAAAAAAAAGGGGGGGAAACAAGGAAAAGGCCAATCCAAAGGGAGGGGGAGAAAAAAAGACAGTAGCGATGCAGAAAAATTAGTCCATCCACAGCGAGGGCGATCCGGTGCGCAGCATCCGGAGAAGCTGAATGAGAGAGAGGAGCTGGTCTGATCGGGGGCTGGTCTGCCTCAGCAGAACCAACAGAAGCTCCAGCAGCCGCGCAGCACACACTGCCGAGGGAGGAGTGGAAATAAGAGGATGGAGAAGCTGTCAGCGGGAGAGAGGGGGCGGATGAGAGAGGGGCAAGAAAGCCCCCTAGTGGCCAGAGGAGGGATAGCAGCTCTGCCCGGGCCACAGACTGCAAACAGTCCTGCCTTAGACTTCTGGGAGAAACAATTAAATCTGTGAGCAATGAATTATATCTTAATATGTTAAGATCTTTTATTGAGAGTACACCCAAAGTGGTTCAAAGAAAAGTAGCTGCTATGTGCTCAGCCACTGACACACCATTCTATTCTGTAGTTTTGTCAGGTGAGTATTGCTTCAAATTTGACTCAAATTTTAGACTGTTCTTTCTGTTCTAATAGGTTATAGGGACCAAATACATACTCAGGACTTTACAGGTTATTTGAAGTAAGTTTATGTGTGCATGTGCATATTTATCCATTATTTTCGTTGTTAATATACAAGTAGAAACAGATTCTAATTGTGTAAAATTGCATGTTTGTTTGCTGATTGTCGGAGTGGGCCAACTGTGAAAAAGTAAAGTTTGCTTAATAATTCAGACAAAACTAAACAAAGTAAGGTTTTACAGACATGTTTCTCCCTTTTTCACCACTGAAATGTCCACATTTTTAACTTTGTTTTCTTAAAGCTACACATTGTGAGTCTCAGGAAATACTGTAATACTGTATTTTCACAGTTCCTGTACAAATGTAAACACAAAAAATGAAATGAAAGATTCCATTTGACAAGACTTTAAAAGATTAAAGATTCCAATATATTATTAGAAAAACAGACAAATCATCAAGCAGCACACCAGTTAGCATGTCAGGTAGCATGCAAGCTTAACTATAACTGACATATACATTTAGATTTGAACACATACATTTATTGTATGTAGGATTTATCTGCTTTATTGATGTTGTCTCATAGATGCTGTGCAATCTCAGAAAAGCTGATGAAGGTCGAATAGTTGGAGTCAAGACTAAATCAGTGTGTAAATTGGTGTGAAACTGCCTGCTAGGGCTCCATAAGCAGCTGGTGCTGCAGCTCCCCCTCCCTGTCTGAACGTTTGTTTCAGCTTGAAGTCGATGGACTTTTTTATTCCTCTTCCAAACCTTTTCTTCCTTTTTCAAACCACCTTTCCTCTTGCGAGTTGAGCTCAGGGATGGAAAATGCCAGCTGACTCAAAGTAGTCACTTTACCTGCTTGTGGTAGAGGCTGAAAATGCTCTTTGATCAGCATTACGAGCTTCCGTAGGCACAGAGTTTCATTTCCTCGGTTAGTTAAGTCATTCAGCAAAAGCTGAGGTTTGTTTTTTTCAGCAGGTGGTGGGAAAATGATAATGGAGTGCTTGGCTGCAGATGCGACTCAACCTTTTTGTTCAGCACACACGGTTTGTAGTTCAAGAATGAATCCGCCCTTATCTTAAATCTTCTTCATCAAACATAACTGTTTCGTTGGTAGCTGTGTCACAGAGATGGTTTATTTACATGGATTATATATGCTCGAGCAAACAAGTGCGGGAAACAAATAGGCACAAGGGTCTGAGCACAACTCCAGATCTTGTATTTTGTAACATCCATCCTGCTGATCTCGTATCAGATCATTTGGCCTTAAGTTCCCCTCCTGTGAATGAATTTCTCTCCATGGACAGTGCACCTTTGTTTTGATTCACGCGTAGCACATTGGCTTTGATAATGGTCACCAGTTCTGGTAGCTTGTTCCTTTTGTCCACAGTGAGAGGCTAATGGATTCCTGTTGTCAACAAAACAAAGGCAAACAAGGGCGTTTTATGTATTGTCACATCTGCTGCGTGAGACGGCCTCAAACGTCCAATTCATTATTAATAATGTAGGATTTCTACTGGGTCCAGGCACAGGAAATGTAATTACTTTGCATTGCCCACAAGTTGTCATTTCATACATAGAGTGCCATCAGGAAACTGTGAGTCATTAAAGTGTGCGAGCTGGGGAGAAAAAAGTAATAAAAACACTGGGAAACATACAACCTAAATTCTCCAACAGTGCATGCATAAACACAGCAAGTCTTCAAGGGCAAGGCCAGAAGAAAAGAAGGGGAGGTCCTTTCTTCCATCTCCATAAGAATTAGACGAGTGATACACTGCAAAGCTCCGGGGGACTTATTCATTTCGACCCACCATGCAGACATTTTAATGCCCTAGACAAAATGGGACCTCTTGCAGTATTTTTTTCCAGGATTGGAATGAGAAATGAAAACTGCCCTGTTGTTCCTGCAGGCTCCTCCTTGTTTTAATTAGTTACATAATTCTTTTATACTGACCTTGCCTTTTTCAAATATGACCATTTGATACATTTATTTGAAAAAATCTGTAAAAATGTGCTGCTTAGTCTTTCCACTTAAGTGTGTCACAGTGTGACGCTTTTTCATTCATCTAAATCTAAAACATGATTAAGGTGAAACGGACAGTGTCCAGCTTTCACATCCAAAGCATGGCTGACCGAGCCCTCTAACAACCTGCTCTGCCATTTGGGTTAGAACATCTTTTATTGATTATACTCTGTCCCTTCAAAGATTAGTGGAAATGGAACCTATCTAAGCCACCTCTTAAACTTCCAATTGGCATGTGTATGGTAAGTATCTAATATCACTATCATTGTGTTTTACTATTAAAAAAACAGATTCTGGTTGTTATTACTTCAAGGTGAAGAAAATAGTTACTTTAACATTATTCCTGTGCTCTTTTTAAGTGTTCAGTTGAAGGTGTTTCATGTTAGTTTTAAGCATCAGAGGTCTGTTCTATTAAAAGGAACTGAAGGCCAAAAAAAAGTGAAAAGTGAAGAAAAGTTGTTGTTGTTGTTGTTTAGGGCTTACACTTTAACGCTTCTCATGTTCTCAGTGCCATCTGCTGTACGTACTGATGAAGTGCGGCCACACGGTCGCCGTGGCAGCAGTACTGAGGTCTCACAGATAGTGTCACCAATGAGCCATGTAAAGGCCAAGTTTCTGATGACCAGAAAGTTGACAAGATTTTACAGCAAAGGTTGATGGAGCCTGGTAAAATTAGCTCCATCACAATTTCTTAATTGTGATTAAGAAACGGAGGCAAGTTGGATTTTTCACTTTCAAAATTTGTTTTGCTTAGTTTTGCACTGCAAAATAAGAAAAACTTTATTTTCATTTGCTTTAGTTAACAATGTGCAGGTTACCATTCATTTGAAGATATTCACACCAAAGGTTAAAGCCAATGTTTTTAGGATTTTCACTTTTTTAATTGTGAACTTTCAGGGCTTCAATTCAAACTCTTTTATGTGCTTTATAAACAGATGGGGATCATTTATTTCATATATGCTTCACAAGCCTGGAGTTGTGTGAAAGGGGTGCACTTGTATTCGAAAAACCACTGCTGTAAACTCATTTGTGTTTAAAGAGCCAAGAGCAAGCCATCAACCAAACAGTCCTTTCGGGGATACAGAGGGAATGTTCTGACTGTCAAATCAAAATGTCATCTACATTCTGAGAAAAAGGTTCAACCACATGTAAAGGGTCTGAATGTCCACAGAAGCCAATGGCATTTGCACAGTAAAAACAGAATAGGTTTTAAAGGTCCAGCCATGTGGAGTCCTCTCTCCAGGTAGTGGATGGGTCATTATCCAAGCCGCACCATTTCACCCAAAAGCAGGTCAGTGGATTCATAAGTGCTCTGCTGGCTCAGATTCAGCTATTTGCAGAAAGGCAGATTGGACAGTACTGGACATTACAGATGAATAATGACTCACTCCACACTGCAGAGGCAAAGTAGAAGCTTTTGCAGGTGAACAAATGGAGTCTCCACTCATTGCCACGTCAATCATTTAAATACAACTCAGTACAGTGTTTTTACCATAACACTAAAATAACAAATGAATAAACAACTTGCACTTGTAATTATTTAATTAAAGATTAATCAGTCTTAATCTCCTTGAGGTCTTGTTGCTCTTTCTTTTTTTCCTTCATCTTATATTTATCATAAATTTGCATGTTGGCTAGTTTTGCAAACAGTTGCCAAATGTCAGTGGAGCAATGAAGAAGCAGCTTTCTGGAAAAAAGTTATTGGTTATTATTCATTTTAGAACTTAAAAAAAGATTATTATTATGTTTTTCAGTCAGTCTTTGGTCTGATTTGAAGATAAGTCTTTGCAAAGAAAAACATAAGTAGCTTTTTATTAAACACTGTAAATTAGAAATAAAGACAAAAGTAATTGTTTTTGTTTTTTTTAATGCTAAGAATCTGCATATTTTTAAACTTTGATCCAGTGTTATTTATTTCCCTTATCTAAAAAAAAATTGTTTCATATCTACTTGTTCCCTTTTCTACTTAAAAATGTAAATAAACTGTAACGTATTCCACACGTTTCATGTTTATAGAATTTCTTGTTATGGGACCATAACCCCGTAAATGTTTCTGGAAAAGCTCTTAATAACATTTTGTGAAAGCTCCTTAATGAAACACAAAACAGGCCTATTTACACTTACCCAATAGCATGTTCATTTTTGAAAAAGATCTTTTCTTTTGCGAAAAGCACCCGATTAGAAAAGGACAGAGGCTTGACATGGGGTTAGAATTAAAAGTTTTTAATTGAATCGTGGCCAAATGTAGGATGAGCTTTTATTGACTGTCCGGGCCAGTGCAGCCGCTCCACACGGTCACTCCCACTCCCCCTGCCCGCCGTGGTGAATGTGTGCAGTGAGCTGGCTCATTTTGCTCTCATGGTGAATGGCCAGCAGCCATTCACCGGGCACACAGAAGCTCATTAGAACTCTATAGACACACAATTGCGAGGTTCACATTAGAAACTTCCTCCTCTGGGACACAGACACCACACACAAAGTGCCAGTTTGCTGCTATGCTAAGCGCATTGTCTCCTTGATTCATGGAACCTGGCCCTCTATTCACAATATTAAGTTCGAGTGGTGGAATATCAATTGCATGTGCAATGGGCCAGTATCTTTTTAAGAGCTTTGCCGGGGTAGAAAGAAGAAGAAAAAAAGAATCTCAGCCGGCCTGCAGAGTGCTCGCTTTCAACAGAGCCATTGTGAGGATTCTGAATGAAGGGACCCCTGTTTTTTTCCCTCCATTCCTGAGAAGAGATGGACATCAAATAAATTCACATGAACTTGCTTCAGGGTGTTTCTAAGACCTACTGTTTAAGAATAGCCTAATTATACCTCCCTCTCCTGGAAAGCTGTATTGGAATCTGGCTAATTACACAGTGGTGAATCTTAACAATTATACGCTCTTAGCCATGCCTTTTATAACGGGCACAAAGTCGCGTGAGACTGGCTCTACCCAGAAATGTCAGTGCACACAGAGAAATATACAATTTTGATACAAACACAAACACTCTAATAAATGTCAGCTTTAAAACGTGCCGAGGAGAGTGGTGGGAAAGCTGGGCCACAGGACCACACGTCATAAATATCTGTATCTGCACAGCATGAGGAGGATTCTTTGGAAACCTTAAAAAGAATTACAGTTGAGGGTAACACAGTTTTTTTTTTTTTCCTCTTGCCACATTCGCAGATGTCCAACTGGCCAAACACAATCACAGCCACCGCTCTAAGTGGAACACGTTAACGGACACTCGCCACACAAAAGTGGACCGTGCACTGAGCCTGGCTGACACTCGTCATGTGACAGAGCGCCGTGCCTTCTCCACCAGCCCGAGGAATAAAACCTCAAATTTGATTACAAGCAACCTTTGGCTCCCTGGCCGGCGCACAATGGGCTGAGCTGTCTGGGCCAATTTCCATGCTCAGCATGAGGTATCTTCACATGCAGACCGCAGCTTGTACTCAGCCCCTCTATACAAACACACAAATCCACACATAAGGACACTTCAAGACCAGCGTGGATATGCCTGTTTACTGTTGGACTCTCTCTTGTGGCGTTGAGGATCATTAGTTGCAGTGTGAAAGGTTGCCCGGGTCTCCTGCTGGATGAGATTTTTAGCAAAGCTTGACTTGTACGTGTGCGCGTGTGTGTTTGTTTATATTGAATTTGGGAACTTTTGTCGGCTCACACACCGGCTAACGGGGCACACTTGTGTAAAGTCACCGCCGTGAAGGATCTCTTTCACTCTTAATCAGATCTTGTTAAGGATATTGTGTTTTTCATTCATCTATACAATTCCAGAATAATATCAGCAATATATATTCCACATAATATCAATACATTACTTCAACATAGCATGTTCGATTTGATGAGAAATGCAATATTTCCGTCTACATAAAACAACTATTTACTGTACATGATTTCAACTTAAAGAATTATATAAGATAAGCCTTTTTTGGATTGTGGGAGTAAATCTTAGTGGAAGATGACATCCAAAAATAAGAAAACAAAATAAGAAAGCTTTGTTTGAAAGCAAACTACGACAGGCTGTAGTGGTTAGACCTAAACAGGCACACTAATGTCATTCATAAGAGAAAATTTCCCTCAACTATTATTCGCTTATATTTAATTCAAAATTATGACAGGTAAAAGTCAAACTAGTGAGGATAGTTTGAGTCATCTTGGGTGCTTTTGGACTTTTTCAGCATGTGTTCACTCTCAAAAAATGTGTCCAACGTCTTATTGTTTGGCGAGCATGAATACGCCAACATAGCAGAGAGCCCGAAATTCAACTGAAAGTGAAAAAGTGCAAATGAACGACCGAAGGGTTTGAATCTGGCACAATGGAGCTCTGAAGGAGGCTGGAGAAAAGAGAAAACTATTTACTACTGCATAAGACTGTTTGGTGCACGTTAAACTTTGGCCAGCGCCTCATTGTCTCTGGTGTCTATCATTTAATAGGCTAGTTGACATAATGAATGAGTCAGACCCACCTTCTGCCACTCCAGAAAGGGCCCAGCCTTATCTGAATTGAGAAGCACATTAGAGCCTCTCGGCCAATCACAACACTGCTTTGTGGCAAAGTGGAGGCCCAAAAGAGGAAGAGCAGAGAACTTTTGTCTTCCCCAGAGTTTAATGAAGTTGGCCTGGTCACTCAAGAAAGGATTAAAAGAGAATTTAGTGTCACTGATCTGTGGCTGCTGGAGAGGGAACTCGAGTGTTGGGGTCAGTGTGAGAGCAGCATGGTCTCAGTCCAGAGCTGCACCAGGAGGAATATGGCTGGCTTCCCTCCCTCTTTACCGGGCTTCGGAAGCTCAGGAAAGAGCTTTCTTATCGACAATCTGCTGAAGTCCCAGGCGGCGTCGGGCCGCGCTGAAGGAGCGGCGAGTGGGCACCTGAGGCGGACAGTATGCGAACGGCCGAAGAGAACCTGGGGTCAGCAAAGCCTGGCCCAGGCTCCCCAGCAGGTGAAAGACGCAGGGAGACAACTTCTGCCCGGTTCAGGTAATCTTTTTAATTATGATGATTATCACTATCAAAGAAAAAAAGATTTTTACATTAAAAAACTGATAAAAAATTATGTGGTTGATAAAAAAAAAGTTTCTATACATGGCTTAAATTTAAATGGCAAATTTTTCCTTTTCCTTCCGTTTCTAGTTTTCAGCAAATTTGTATTCTTCTGCAGAATAAATACATTTAAGCCTTAGGCCTACATTTTTAGCCTTACCCAGGATAAAGGTTAATCGTATGAATGCCTGAATTTGCAGTTAATTGTCATTATTAGCTATTTCCATAATTAACAGTACTACAAAGTTGTAAAAATGATGCTGTTTACTTATGTTGCTCATTCAACAAGAGGATACATATTTCTAACCATAAACCTTGCAAATCTTTTTTTTTTAAAGTTGGGACACCTGTAAATAGGAGCTATTAGCAGAGTATAAACAGCAGCACACCATCTCTATGCTTAACTATACAAACATTACTGTATCCGATTAAAACATTCTCATTTTTATCAATGTAAAATAAATCTATGCTTATTTTGAAGTCAATGTCACCAAGGCATTCAACGGAGAATGGAACAGTAGTAAACACTTAAAAAGTCACAAGTATTGTCAACGTTAAGGTGACTGTTTTTAAAGAGTATAATTCACTAGCCTGTGAACACAATGTGCTCCAGTACTTTAACAGCATGAGGGAAATCTTAACATTATTCGAACATGGAGAAAAATGGTAATGAAAGGCTTGAGAGCGAAAAAGAGACTGTGCTCCTCAACAAAACACGCTGGTGTCGTGCTAATTCCTGCAGGCAGGTGCAGCCAGGGACTGCTTTCAAAGAATATACGACCTATGCAGTTGTGAAAGCTAACAAATGTGAAGTGTGAAGCTGTGCTCCTTGGTGGTAGACCAAGTGAGGTCATTTTCTGAACCATATAAGAAAACTACCATGTTTATCATCGTGCACTTCATGTAGCTGATGAACACGTTGCTAAAAAGCTTGCACCTAATTTTCCACTGCTTTCTAACCCTGAGCAAGTAATGTTAGCACCTAAATCTAATTCCATGGAGAGGGAAAACAGTTGGTGCGTTATTGAAGGAATGTATTTTATCTGTTTTGGTCCTGTTTTTTTTATTTTGCTTTGTTTTTCCATCAGATTGTAGTTCAAAAGGTCTGTTAAGGTATGATGCTACTGTCCATAATATGATGGTTCTTTTAAAAGTCTTTCCCCTTGAAATAAGACGATAAATGAATGCCGTTTGTCGATTTGTTATTCTTTTCCAAAGTTTGTTGTTCAGTGTATGGTTACCTGGATTTGAACAAGTCGCACACAGTTGCACATTGTGCAATTACAACATTCCAACTTTTTGGGGGGGCATAACGTTGCACAAGTCGCACAGTCACATGGTAAAAAGACTCCGTTTGACTCTCTGGATGTGTGTTTGCAGGTGTGCTGGGCAGAGTTTTCCTGCAGAGCCCGCAGTATCTGCTGGCGTGCTGCGGTGGGTCCAGCCCCCCCCCCGTCTTCTCCAGTGAGTGTTTTATGCCTCATCAGCAATGCCTCAGCTGCTCTCTAAGCATTAGCAACAGGGTCTTCCATGGTTTCCTAAGCTAATTACTGATGCAATGCCAAAGAGCTAATTCTCCGTTCAACTCTGCACAGCTCTATTCATAACCATTCACGGCTGTTTAGGATGGGGAAAAGGGGGCGCAACCGCAGGGCTTTTAAGAGTCCCAGAGGCCCTTGTTTAGCACTTGCGAATACACATTTACCAGAGCAAATAGGCACTGCTAATAAACACCGTGTCTACTGTCATATTAAGATGATAACAACTTGATATGAGTTCTTACTGCCAAATCAGACAAAGTGTTTCAAAGCTTTGTGCCCCGGTGTGAAGTTTAATTTTCAAGTTAAATCAAACGTGACAGTCTCTGTGAGAGGTGTAATTAAATTTTTTTATGGGATTTTGTCCTCATGGGAAACATATAAATTGTACCTAAAAGAAGAATTCCTTGTTTTTTAGGATTTGATCATGTACATGGTCTATATCATACTGAGAGGATATCACAGAACTGATTAAGTCAAGCATTTGTCTTCTTTCGGCATTGTCCACGGGCAATTGGAAGTTATTAGTTGCTGCAACCTACGATGGCTGTCAGGGGCTGTTGAAGAGAGCACAAATCAGAAAGCCCTCATCCCACAAGTCGCCGGAGTCCTCTTAGTAGGCTGACACTTTCCCACAGCGCCTGGCAACAAAACAATGCCAACGCTGGCCGTGACCAATCGGCACTTTCACTCCGGCGTCCACACGCGACCTCACCGCCATTTTTCACCACAGCAATGAACTCCACTCAGCACAAAAAAACCCACCCATTCCTCTGCAGGAGAGGGCTGGACACGGAACATCCCCTGTCCATTGTGTAGCTAAAGAGCCTGGCTCACCACCACCCCCACCCCCCCCTCTCCCTGCTGCCTCCTTTCTGCTGTCCTTCAACTCTCACTCCTACCCATTGGAGACCTCTTGACTAGGACATAAAGCATTCAAAGAAAGTGACTTTTATAGACTTTTTCCAGCTCATCTTCACATACAAACCGGCTTCAAGCCCGCGAGAGAAAAGATTTGGTGTCGGGCCACTGAGCCATCGAGTAATGGCATTTCCATTGTCCGGCCCCATTGTCGGTGTCCCACTGGGCTCAATGGTTGGCCCACTGGGGCAGACACACACGTTGCCCAGGAATGACCCGGTAATCAGCAATTTAAGGGAAAGCTATTGAGCCTCAATTGAGAAGTGAGAAGCATGTCCAATACCGTTTTGTGCTCCCTAGAGGTGGTCTATGTGCAGATTTGTCGTACAGATTAAAAAGGCAACGTTGAATGGATCAGATAAATTGCTCCACTTGACTTGTGCTGTGCATGCACCTGTGAGTGAGGCGGCGTGGGATTGGCCCTCACAGGTCACCAAATTCCTTCTTTGTCAGTCAAAACAGCATTCTTCTCACTTTGGTCACCCCAAGTTTGTTAAATTGGAAAAACAAAAAAAAGAGGGTAAAGGGAGTCATAGCATGAATGTGATGAAAAAAGGACTGAGCAATTGGTAAAGTGTTCATACTGATTTTGAACGCAGCATAATCAGACGTAATACCCAAATCTATCTGAAATCTTTAATAAATTCGTTTTTTCAACAACACCTATAGACTTTCAGAACTAGTTCATTTTTATTTTAGTGAGCTGTGCTTAGGAACAATCTGTAGATGATCTTCCATATTGAGCAAAAGCTAACATTTTTTTCTTTATTTATTTTTCTGCTTATTTTCTAGAGGGAGCAAACGTTCAAATGTGGTCGGCCAATGTAAGTCCTAAGTCGCGCAGAGGGATCCTCAGGAGGGCTGTTTTCTCTGAAGAGCAAAGAAAGGAGCTGGAGAGAACTTTTCGGAGACAGAAGTACATCAGCAAAACAGACAGGAACAAACTGGCTGCTGATCTCAGTCTCAAAGAGTCACAGGTAAATACTTTGTTATAACCTATGTTTAAATCAAATGAAAACGGCAATACCGGGTTGAAATAACGATGAACCTTGTTTGTTCATATATCTAAGTGAAAAGTTCAGGCAGCTTTGGATGAGAAATGAATAGATTTGAGTTTTGGCTAGTTGTATAGCTAAAATGAAACACAGTCTCAAGAGGAAAAAATCAAATAGGCTTGCCCACATCGTTTTAAACTAAGAGTCACAATTCTTGTTTGCATGTTTTGATGTTTTTGCTGGGCAGTGTTTATTTCAGAGAAATGGATCCATGATGGCTTAACAATTTGCACTGACCATATATTTCGTAACAGTCACCCTTATCCCATGGCTTCTAAACCTTGAACCCTGGGTAGATGATAGTTTAGAAGTAAAGCAAAACCATAAGAAATTCCTCCTTCCTATTTAATAATTTATGCTTTGAAATCAGCCTAAGTGCTCACATGGACAGGAAAGTCATTGCATCAAAGCATTTTTGCATTCTGTCACAGAAACAAGTTGAGTTATCAGAAGTGAATGGTTCTGCTCTCTCTTTTTGGTTCTAGGTGAAGATCTGGTTTCAAAACCGACGCATGAAATGGAGAAACTGCAAGGAGAAGGAAGTTCACCACATCCGCTCCCCAATGGATGAGCTGATGGCGAGGGGCCTTTCGCAAGATGAAGAACCATCACACAATCACACCCGTGCGAAGGCAGAGAGCCCGCCAGCACAGAGGAGCACCGCGGACACAAAGGACTCACTGACCAGATGACACCAAACCAGTGACTTTCTCCCAATCACAAGACACTCAGAAGAGACTATAGCAGGGTTCTAGAGATGTTTGGATGGAATACATTGTTCGTGTGTACTAACAGTGATAATAATATGTTTTCAGTACATATCTATATATATTTCATTCATGTATTTACATTCCACTGATCTGATTAACTGAATTATTTAGGATTTCACTCACTTCGGTGAACAATTTCACGGTTATCACAATGGCAAATCTTTCTAAGAAAGATTTCCACACTTCAGTTGTAATTGCAATCACTGAAAGGCCAAAATGAGTCATTTCATTTACTGTATTTTAATGCAACTATAATGTATAGGCGGTATTTTGTTTGGGCTTTACACTAACACTAATCTAAAAATATTTTTTAAATTGTGTTGAAGGTACATTTTAATTGGTTCATGTTGTAAATATATTTTCTGAGACTTGGATGCACAAATCACTGTAAATAAAGCGAATCAATGACTCACAATTTATACTTTGCCTACTCTAGCTGTAGACTCTTAAACAAAGGCATTTAAATGTCAATTATACCTATACTGTTTGCCATACCAATTCTGAATCCAGATGTTCTTTAAAAGGATGCTCCGACCAAGCATTGAAGACACACATTATCTTTTTAATTAGTTTTGACCTGTTTACACTCAATGATTCAAACCAAAAGAATGTTTAACTAGCTATGACAATCAGGCTGAAAGAGGCACGCACAATCCTCCACAGTCAATGCACACATCAGTACCATCCTATACAAGCACACATACAAACGTCTTTTAATTCAAAATTCAAACACGCTGTGCTATTTTTTCATCATCAACACTCCAGTTCAGGTAGGGTGGTACATTTTAGGATGCAGAGATAACTCTTCACCTTGCTGGAGTCTCTGCGGAGGCAGTAGAGTATGTCATGGTGGTGGTACAAAGGGCTGAGTTCTCCTTGTCCGTAAAATGAAACGGTAGAGGAGGGGACCAGGCTGTCTGCAGAAATGTAACCCACGGTGTTGCCGAGCACTCCCTCTAACTTCATCTGCAGGGGACAGGATCAAAGCCAGAGAATGAACTCCTTCAAGGAGTTGATAGTGAAGAGTAAGGCATGTAGACTGTTGCTAGCTTAATTTATTATTTTTTGTCAGCAATTAAATAAGGAAAAAAAGAGGAAAATAAAAATAAATTCTAACAAAAAGACGTACATTGAATGCTAACAGCTATATACATTTTACAGACATTTAAGAAGTGTCCACGAATCTTGAACAAGTAAAACAATCCTCACCCTCTCAGCCATTTTTTGGACTCCATCCTTCAGTTCGTCGACCATCTCAGGGATTTCCAGAGCCTTGCTGTGGCTCTGGGGGTTGAAATCTTCACTCTGATCTTGAAGTGTGCTCCAGGGCAGCGGTAACAAAGGGTCACTCCAGGCCACCAGCAGCCTCAGAATCACCTCAGTCAACTGTTCTGGCTGCACGTCACAGAAATGCAAAAAGAATTTCAGCCAAATAGAAAGCACCATGCAGGTATTGTTTAAAAGTCATCAAACACAATGCAGCAAGACTGTATGCAAAGTCGGAACCTGTTTAAAAGCACAGACACTCACTCCTAGTCTTTGTGCATTCTCCTTATCATCCGGTGTGATTATATCATATGTGTGGCATCTCCGTTTGCCTATGATGTTTCCACTGGGAAAAAAATACTGCTCCTGTGTGGACAGAAAAACACACGGCACACAGTAAGATGCCCGCCTGAAAAATAGTCAGCTCAAACAAGGGTGATTAACGATGATGAATGTCCGACAAAGGCCGTTGAAAGGTGATGGATGGTCGGTGACAGGCATGAAGAAAACCCACAAATTCCGAGTGCAGATCACTGGAGATGCCGTGCATTCTTGAGGACTGCTGTATGACCCGGTCAAAGAGATCGGCCAGGGGAGGGACGTGGCATCCCGCCTGCCCGTCGGAAGAACAGATCGGAGCAGTCCCCACTCTCATGGAAAAGTGCAGATAGAACAGCACAAGGAGAGCAAACCAAGCTGAAACGGAAAACCAAAAGTTACCAACAAACTCCAATTTGCATTAAAGTTTTGCGATAAAAGAGAAATCTCACCTTTTTTCATGTTTCCTCGGTCGTGATGGGGATGTGGAGCAGAGCTCTCCAGCTCCCAAAGTTAGCCGTCCAGAGGTCAGAGTGTCCACTTATGGTGCTTACAAATCGGTGTGTCGGGGGGGGGGAGAAAAATGGCATTTTTCTCTGTGCGTCATATGTGTCTCTTTTTTAGCTTCTTTGCCAAGAGCAGACAAAACTAACTCGGGCGGAAAAGGTGTTACACCCAGTGGTCCGACAATTTTCCCCCTTATAAGTATTGAGTCAGTGTACGAGCAGAAAGTACTTTATTAGTCACAGATTTATTAGGCCTTGCTCTGAGTCGAAATATGCCCTATTAATTCTTGTAGACAACTTCCAAAAAGTTGGCATTCATAATGAAATGTGAATTTAAAAAAAGTTTGGCTCCTTTTTTCCAATATGTTTAAACTTCCAGGTCTGTATTTAAGTTAGTTTTCTTGTAGTTTTCTGCAACTGTGAAATGAATTTATCTGTCAAATAATGCATCTCCCAAGATGAGATCCAATTCAAAATCATTTGACAACTGGGTGACATCACTCTTGACCAAATTCATCAACACAAACAGGAAGGGGTAGTTTTGTTGATGTTCTTACTTTAAATCCCACCACAAAGTGCTGTTTTTACAGTCTTTATTCAACTATGGACAGCTAAAAAATTAAGAGTATCAAACATTCAAATTTTTTTATCTTAAAACCTTGACTTGAACCAGACAACTCACTCTTAAAACGGGCACTTCGCTAAAATAAAACAAAGAAAAACAAGAAAAAAAGCTGTTATAAATAGACCAGACTAATCATTTCACATTAAACTGTGACACAGGGGTAAAACACTACATGGAGTAACAATGGAATGACGTCAGCACTGTTCAAGTACCCCCGAAGGGAGAGCACACTCATGTATTTGAGATAATTAGTGCTCAGCTAATAATAATCAAACATTCACTTATTCTAATTTGTAAGACAGACCATTATGTGTGAAGAGTACAACGTGAAAGTGAATAGTAAAAGGGGGGGAAAAAAAAGTATTGGACATGCTCTTTGTTCAACAACCCCAGCTCGGTCTTTTCAGCCCGGCTTTGAAAACAGGCTTTTGACATGTAAAGTGGGTGATTTATCTTCTCATTATTACTACGTTGTACAGGCCGCCCGCTGTGAATACAGTTGTGAGTCATTCTCAGCAGATGGACTTCTTGAGCAGATCCACTTAGCAGGGAAAAAAAGGAATACAAAACCATGGTTTGCCTCTAACATCGCTTAATATATTGGTCTCGGAACAGTTTTCTCTTGTTTTAAAGAAAGGGGCGGGCAGCTTCTGGCCTTGAGGGTCAATGCCCTGCAGGTTTTAGAGGTTTCCCTTGTTCCATACACCTGGTTTATCTAGTTAAGTCTTTAGAAGGGGTTCACGTTATCTGGATCAGGTGTGTAGGAGCAAAGAAACCACTAAAATCTTCAGGACAGCAGCTCTCAAGGCCTGGAGTTAGCCAACCAGGCAAAGTTTAAAGGGGAGCACAGCCCCACATCAGTGCTGTGGTTCTGTTTCAGTCTGCCACCTGGTGGTCAAGGAAGTGACCTGCAATCAGGGCAAGAATTTAACTGCCCACCATGTCCTTTGCCTTAATCCAAATGTCGCAAAGTAACGCAATGAATTCAAAGGATTAAGAGGTAGGAGGATCAAGGATGTTAAAAAATAAATAAATCACAAGTTCATTCTATAAGACAAATACTTTATTGACAGCTATTGTACATAACACACCAAAAAGGATGTTATAAATACACTGTTATCCTTTGAGACAAAATAAAATCTATAAATACTGATTTAATAATACTATTTACAAGTTTGAGTGCATCATTTTTACAGCCTTCTAAGAAGGCAGATATGGAACAGAGGGATGCTGAAAAGGAGTACAGGCAATTTAACATCTCATATAAAAAAAAAGAGAAGAAGAAGAAGAAAAAAAGTCTGTTTTTAAGTTACTCCACACGTTCAAACGTATATGTCGGGTTTCGCATTTTTCCCCTGCCGACTTAACACGCGTGGTGCTTCCATTTGCGGGTTGCCACGGCGATGCCGGCGTCCTTTCTGTGCCAGGGGAAGAGGCGGGCCAGGGCGACGGCGCCGTCGGGCCGAAGCGAGCCGGTCAGCACGTAGAGCTGGGAGCGGCCGGGACGCGCCAGGGCGCCGGCGCACCGCAGGTTGATGAGCAGCCACTGCTGCAGGAGATGGCGGGTGTCGTAGGGCAGCAGCGGGCCCTGGCGGATGAACTCCACCCGGCCCTCCACCTGGAATTCCGCCTCCCCGGTGGGATGGCGCAGGCGGTGGATTTTAGCAGTCACGGCTGAGGAGAAGAGAGGGGAAATGAGCACCTGGGAGGCAGAGCTGGGACACAGAAACGTCTACTTTTCTGTTTTTCTTTTCAATTAAGAAAAGAGAATGCATATAAATCCAACTTAATATGCCAGAAATATGCAAGAAATGCTGTCAGATATGCATAAAAAAGGCAATAAAATCCCAAGATCATATACAAGCTATACAGGGGGTGTTGATGCAGCACAGATTTCAGCATGAAATTTTAAAATAGATAAATAAAAAATGTACCAAAGTCGTGATGGCAAAAGGCACTCAGGACCGTTTTGACGGCAGGAGCCTCTTCGACAGAAGGACACGTTTGGCAAGCGGCTTTGGGTAAGTCTGTAATTCAAAAAGATCCTCATTTAATCAAAAGGGTTAAGAAAAAACGAGCCCACCACACCGCGGTGTCCAATCTGAAACGGCAAAAAATCAAAGCACAAGTGTTACCTTTGGCAAAGTGGTTGAACTTGGCGAGCGGGGTCAGGCACATGTCTTCCTCGGCGGGGAAGCGGTCACAGTCCAGGGCCTCGGGCCACGGGTGACCCTGGCAGGCCAGCACGGGAGCACAGCTGTCCCTCACCGCCACGCACAGGCTGCGGCAGGGCTGGATAAACCTGGGGACAAGCATCACGCCGGCGGGACCGTTATCATCCATACTACAAAAACGTCTCAAAATGAGAAATCGTCTTTTCGGAGGTGTGCACTCACGTGTCCAGGCAGACGGGGGCGATGATGGAGCAGAGGAAGGCCTGGGCCTGAGGGTGGCAGCCCGTCTGCAGCAGCGGCCTCCAGGCCTCCGAGCGGGGCACCACCTCGCCCTCCAGGTTCCTGTGGCCCAGGAAGTTGGGCAGCCGCATCTCCGAGTAGCCCACGTCTCTGCACACCTTCATCTGGTTGGGGATGGTCACGCAGCGGGTGGACTGGCCCATGTCGAAGGCCAGCGAGCGAGAGGCCAGAGCCAGGAGGGCCGCGGCGAGGAGGTGAGCCATAGTGCGAGGGTAACCGAGAGGAGGCGAGGTAGAGGAGGATCTCTCTGCGAGGGCGTCAGGCCTTTGCTGTGCTCACCGCCTCTGACCGGGCTTTCTTAAATACAGCACGGTCAGCCAGCCCCATCAGCCCGCCAGTCTGTTATCAACTACCTATCAAAAGACGCAGAGACGATGTGTTTGGAGACAACGGCTTGTTTTGTGATCGGCGCAGACAGGGAGGGGGCAGGAAGCAGATGGAGGGGTGTGTGTGGGCTGGGGGGGAGGCAGGGAAAGGGGGGGGGAATCACATCACACAGTCCAGTCTGTGTCACTCACTCATGAAAGTCAGAAACGGTACGAGAATGTGAGCGAACAGCAGGTTTTGAGCTAAACTATACAAAATGTTCCTCGCATGAGGGTGTAAGGATTTGAAGAGGATGTCATGGAACATTGATTCTCAGACTTTTATTCACATGGCTTGATCTCAGGCTAGTATTTGCCCAAAACTTCAACTTTTCTGTTTTTCTTTTCAATTAAGAAAAGAGAATTTATATAAATCCAACTTAATATGCAAAAAATATGCAAGAAATGGTGTCAGATATACATAAATAAGCAATAAAATCCCCAAATCATATACAAGCTATACAGAGAGTTATTTAATTCCCTCCTTGTCATGGATTTAATCCTCCTACTTGAACAGAAGTGCTTCATTACATCACATTAGAGCATATTTGTTTGGATGTTGTCTGTCTCCAGATTCAGATGTGTATCTGTGGCTGATGCCTCCGGGGTTTTAACTCTCAAATCAGAGGACTCTGCAGAAACCAGTCTGTTAGAGGGTCGTGTGGCTTCAGAGAGACCAAAGTAAAGTCCAGTCTGAGTGGCCCCATTCCCATTTATGTGGCTGTATACCAGCACTGTCTGCAGCAGACAAGCTTCACGCATCCAGACAGGAGCTTTTCTTTTTTTTCTTTTTCATTTTCAGCCTGATCTGATGGGTGGAGGCTGCTTCCAGATCGCGTAGACGAGTACAGCCCAAAAAAGGGGCCTAACTGGGCAATTAAAGTCACAGACTAATTTGGGAGAACAATAGATCCACACATTTAACAAGCCCCCCCTGCCGGGAGCCCAGCAGGGGTTTGTTGTTGGGCCTAATGGCTGCCCTGTAGACAATGTGTCTGTCTTGGTAATGTGCTGCCAACCTGGACCTCAGTAAACGAGAAGATAAGTGTGGGTTGAGCACCTGTTTGTTAAAGAACATGACATTCTGTCTAAATAATCATCAAACAGGTCTAACATATGACTACATTTCTCTGGGAAAGATTTAAAAGATGAATCTGGGCACCCATCTTGAGCACTACAGTTCACATAACTTTAGTGGACCAGCTACTTTTTTTCCCCCACCAAAAAACAAAACAAAAAAAAACATTTAAAATGACAACACTGAAATCGGATCTGTACTTCAAAATGATACCACTCAAACTTAGCACTTTCCAAGTTGCTGTGAAAGCTGTTAAATGGAGATCATTAGCAAGGATTACATGCAATTTGCAGGGAAAAAATTTGCATCTGAAGATGAAAAGAGCACTCGCATGTGAGGAGACAGCTGAAGTGAGAAATAAATATTTCTCTGTTCTGGTTGATCCGTGATTTCAGCTACTTAAAGGTTCAAGTCTTTTACTACATCTTTCTAACCATAATTCACTAAATGGTGGTCCATTCCCATTGATGGCAGATTTTATATGCGTTTGCATAATCTTGCTGAAATAAGAAAGCCCTTCCCTTAAAATGTATTGTTTTTATCCTGGATATTAATTGTATTCTTTCTTAACTTGCATTCATGTTGCATGCGCCGTCCTGATGGCGTTCCATCATTTTTGGAATATCCAGTTTCAAAGATATTCCAATTTACTTGATGCAGTCATGCATATTTATTTATTATTATTTCAGAGGGTCTCGGGATGTTCAACCACACCTTTTAAGTACTGTGAAATCTCTAGTCCCATCAAATAGCTTACACGCTAAGACCAAAGCTGGAGCTCACTCAGGCTGTGCTTTTCGGTCAGCAGCAGGACCACTGTGCCTGTATGTCTCGGTGAAATAGAAAACTAAAGTAAAATAGTTAGGAAGTGGAAATTCAACATATCATGAAAGCAGCAGAAATCTTATGAGTTTTAAGTAAGAGAAAATGTTGCTTAAATTTTGTCTAACTTCAGCCCAGTGTTTCTTCTCGGTGGAGCGTTTCCACGGCAGATCCTGCTCCCCTGAGACACACATCAAAGACAGAGGCGTGTTTTAAGAAGCAGGAAGACTGGGTGTCTGTGCCGGGCTATCTAACAGCACAGCAAAGTCAGATAAAAGCTGTCTCCTCCTGTATGCAAGAAAGTCATTAACCTAAGATGTTGAACACCCCCGTTTGCCTCCCGTTCCTTACCCCTGCCCACGCCCCTTCCCCCCCCCCCCCCCCCCCCATTTCCCTCCCGTTCCTACCCCCTGCCCACGCCCCTTCCCCCCCCACCTCCCCATCCTGCTGGGCTCCAGGAGGACTGACAGTCCCTGCACAGACTGTCAATAGCACTCAATTGTCACATCCAGTCTCCGAGCCTTATGGGCAGACGCTGCCACGCCGACACCAGCAGACGGCAAACATCCACAGAGGCCAACACACTCAACGAGATAAAAGTCAAAATGTCTGACATTTTGTTTTTATTGCTCGTCAAAGAGCTGAAAGTGAAGCGCCTCTAAAAATACATTTAAAAAAAAAAATCTTAATCCCGTTAATCATTACACACCATCATCCATACAGTTCGTGTTAATGATCACGATTCCTCTGCTATGATGCAATGCCCAACAATTTCATGCATCTCGTGCACAGTCGAGCACATAAATGAATTAACGAAAGGAAGGAAATGAAACCAACGTGTAGCGTACACAAGCGTCATCTTTATTTCTGAACCCCATTGAAAGCGTATTTGCCTCTCACAAAAATTAAGCAATTAGGAGCTGCTGCAACTCTGACAGTCAACGCAGAGACAAGCTGAGGAAACACGACGAGAAGAAGAAATGAAGAAGAAGCCAACAACAAATGTTTACATTGACGAGGCGACGGGCTCGCTGTTCCCCACTGTCGGTCCAGATACTCTTAAGCACTCTTTTGCTCATCTGCAGCGCTGAAGAAATTAAGAGTATATTTAGAAAAACGATTTTCACTTTGTCACACTGACCTAGAAACACTTAATGTTCAGTTAATGTTCATAGACTGATGTGTTGTATTCATGAAATGTGAGAGGCGCAGTTTAATAAATAATTAAGCATGCTTTGTACCATTAGATCCCACTGAAAAAGATAGAAATACAATATGATTAAAGACAATGAAGGGTAGTACATACATCTGGGAATGTCTGAGGGAAGACGGGGGGTCACAGCCCACATACGCCCCATTGATGAAGCAGTATTGCAGCAAAGCCCTGAAGCATTGATCCTGGAAGGAAGTAAAATTCTTAGCCGGCCAGACGTTACATGTCGCACTCTAGATGAACATAAAGAAGTATTAATAACTCACCCTGATCAAAATGTGAGGGTTTCCAACCATTAAAAGCAGAGCTTTGGGACGAGTGATGGCCACATTGAAGCGTTTCGGGTTGGACAGAAAGCCAAGCGAGCTCTGCAAATCATCGCTCTGCATCATTTCATTGGAGCGCACCTGTACCAGGAAAGCACTATTAATTATTTCCTGTGAGAGGCGAACAAGCCTGGGAAGGGCTTATTGGTGTTACTGTACCAAATATTTTATACAATTAAAAATGAAAAATATTTAAAATGTGTTACTGTAACAGATCTATGGACCTTTCACTAAAAACGCATCAGGTGCCGGCATACATCTCAGGCCACAGATTAGGAAATAATTACATTACAAATTATTTGTAGACATAAAAACAGACAAAGCTTTGAAAAACTAATTTAGAAAATGGCAAGGATGTGTGTTGGTGGTAAAGTGCTCCAATTAGACTACAGACAGATCACAGCTTCTTATCGGTTAACACAAACATGGATTTCTAAATTGTCTGGGTTTTCAGACAGAAAACCTTAAATTATTGTTTACTAAATACTTTTGGAAGAAGAAATCTCTGTTCTATCCAAAAACACCTGGACGGACAACATCCAGAATACATTAATGGAGCCATTAAATTATCTTTATGTTGGTAAGCATCCTCTAAATTTCACGAGTAATATGTTTTAGTCTCCCGCCTTTACTCAACCTTCCGTGTGCAGTTCCAACCTCAGGGTTGTATAAATAAAAAGTTTTGAAATCAAGTACCATCCGACGCATGGTTTGTTTTAACCTACCGTTGACAAGATGATGACCAGAAACTCTTGTCCTTGAAACTCTTCCACCGAGCCAACTTTGATGTCGGAGAGGCCAACCCTTCCGAGCAGCATCCGAATCTTCTCACACTGGAGAGCAATATGAATATTTATATGCAGTATGGACAGGTTCCTTCCTTTGAATGTAAAGCCCTATTCAATTACGCTGGGGTTCAATTTAAAATAAGTTTAAAATCAATGTTGTTATCCAATAAGATGCAACTGAATGTACGACAGAGTGGTCATACTTGTTTCCTATAGGGGGCGATAATCCCGATGTCAGAGGCATTAACAGGGTGGTAGAGTTTCTTTGACAGTTGGCAGCAGTACAGCATGACCTGCACCGCTTCCATTGGGTTGAACCATGATGGGTTGTTGCCTTCCCTCATCTCTTTGCCCTACAGCAGAGCAAAAAGTTCAATGAAACCTGCCCGCCTGAAGGAATAATATGAAGCCATGATGGATAGGATAATAACGTTTAGCCGGCTGAATTGTGCATTGTGTAGCATGAGCATTCTAAAATACTGGGGAGGCCAATCTAAATAAGTTAGTCTAAGTAGATATATATTTCCAACAAATATTCATTACCCTGACACCATGAAAGAGGACTGGGAAGCCTTTTTTTGGCAGGTTTTTCCACTGGCAGAGGGACTCCACAATAGACTTCTGAGCTTTGAAGCACAGCTCCCCCTGGTAGAAGAGCTTTGAAGGCAGTGTGAGCAGCGCCTCATGAGAACGGTAGTTGTAGATCAGTTTAGTCACCTATTGTAACAAAAAAGAGAGACTGCTGACGAATACTGAAATTTAAAAAATCCAGTGTAATTGAATTTTTTCCATTGTTTGTGGTCACTATGTTACAATAAAAATAACTTGTAGCAAATACTTCACTTAAAGAAACATTTCAAGTTATTCTCTATATGAAAAAAATTGATCTTTTAAATGCATTGGACAAACCACTTTGGGGTTATAGCCCCAGTCCTGCTTGCAGTAAAGCGGGTTTGCCATCAGCCTCTCCAACAAAGACACCCCCAGGCCAAAGGTGGCAGCCAGCTTAGACTTCACCACTGGACCCAGCTGACAGGGGTCTCCAGCTAGCACTATCTAAACAGCAACATAAAAACTCAGTTATCACTCAGGTTCATCATTTTATGTTTGTTTTTTTTTCCTATTCACCAAAACTTACTTTTCTTAATACAATTGTATCATATTCAAATCTTTTCTAAAATAAAAGTACATCTTAGTGTCACTAAAGGATAGGAGATTGTGGATAAAAGCACTGGGAGATTAACTTTAGGAGTTGAGCAAAATTTCCGTGCTGACCTGTCCGTCTCTTTCTGAGACAAAGCTGATGGGGATCAGAGACTCCGGCTCAGTTGCTTGGCCAGCTTCATCCAGAAACACATGCGTAAAATGTCCCACTCTGTAAAATACATATCCAAAGACTGGTAAGGTCTCAATTTGGAATAAACCTTTTTTTTTTTTTTAACTAAAGTTAACCACTGCCCCTTTTAAAAGCCAAGGACTTACTTTATTCCTATATTACTGAACATGCCGGCACTGGAGCAGGTGCTGACCACGATTCGGTGAAAAGCAGCTTGCCGGACGTCCTCTCCAGCTTTTGAATATGGTCGCAGTACTTCTGGGATAGACTAGAGAGGAGCAGTCCTATTTTGTTTCATATAAATTCAAGATAATGAAGCAAAAATACTAAAGACATGCCAAGTTTATAACCACAACCACAGGAATTGCAGATAACATATGGTCCAGTGTCAGGTAAGCGCATGTGAACGGGCCTTTATTCTCCGATCACACATAAATGAGGCATCTTACACAAATTGCTCACTGAGCTGAACTATTCTGTTGTACCTCGTTGTCCCTGCACGATGCATTGACACGTGCCAACCCCCCGGCATCCAGGAAGCCGCTGGCATGCAGGCGGATGCAGATGAGGTCAGCAGCACTGTTGGACGGTGTGCACACCAGCACCCGACTACCAGGCAGGAAGTGATAGACCTGTGGATGCAGAACGGTCCAAGCTAAACTAAATTCACCCTTTAAGTTTCCAGGTATATTGATCCTTTACAAGAAACCTAAAGTCCATATTATGACCCTTGGAAATAGTTTTAATTAACAAAAAGAATTAGTTCCACTTGACCCTGCTAGGACAAAGTTAGCTAAAGCCAAATGATTTAAAAAGCTCTTAATAAAGTGGTATGCACCTGCAGTATGACCTCTATAAGAGTAATGGTCTTTCCGGTGCCTGGAGGTCCAAACAGTATGTAGGGAGTCGGTCGACATTCCCCTTCCAGGATCCTCATCACGGCCTGTCTTTGCCGGGGGTTCAGGTGGGGGTTGAAAAATTGCCCTTTGCTTGGGACGGGTTTGGATGCCAGTGTACCAGCTAGAGGAAAATCATTCTATAGTAACTAAAAGCGGGGGCTTGTATTCAGACTGAAACCAAACTGAAAATCAAATACCTGTGCCTTTAGTCTGTGTAGCCTTTGACTTCATGTCAGAGGAATCGTTTGACCCTGTTCCTTTTTCAGCAGCTGACGTCTGGTGTTCAAATACATTCAAATGTGACCAGAGGTAAATACAATGCACTGATTAAGTATTTTTACTTTTTTTTTACCTCATTTTCATTCACTCTTCTTTGTTGGTCTGCCTCCTCTTCCCACTCAGCAGTCCACAGGGGGGTCTGAGGTGTCAGTGTGGAAGGGAAGAGAACTACACAACCATATGGAAAAGGACACCAATGAGACGGCTGTCTGGCCTGGTTTTTAAAGTTAGCCATCAATAGTATGATGGGAGTATTGATACCAATTTATTACATCTTCTGTATATGTCAAATGACAAAGGCGCAGAATAACAAGACAGAAACATGTAATCCCTGTTATCTGTTCCCTCAGATGGCCAAAAAACAAAGCTGGATCTAAACAGCTCCCTCTGGTGTCAGGGGTATGGGTGTGCAACAATGCATACTAAAAAACTTTATCCAAAAACCCTTTGTCGTAAATAAATATTCATTATTAACATTAAGATAAATTGGATCTACTTTGGGTGAAATTACTGAAGTATTAGAATTATAATGGGTACATTATCGTTACCACAACACTCCAGGAATCATGCAAGCAAACTAGTGACATAAAGCGCGTTTTCCTAAAATGAAGCTCAGGAACAAAGTAGTAAAAACAACTAAACTCCATTTAATCCACCCAGTAGCCATCTGCTTGTCAACCATACTGCCTGGATTTCAAGCGTTAACTTTTATTTCATAATTGGACACCAATTTTTTTTTCAAGATGAAATAAAAATTGCAAGTGTGTTGATCAATCACATTTTATATTAAAATAAAATTAACGAAATTCACATAGAACTTACCGTCTCCAAAATGTCTTGTCTGTACAAGTGCATTGTGACATCGTCTGATAGTCAGTCTGATGGAAGAAAAAAACTCAATAAATTAGTAAAATTAAATTCTGAAATTAAAGCAATATTCTTTTTTTTTTGCCTTTTGTAAACTGACCTGTTGAAAGAGAACTCAACATCAAGTGGCTCACCGAGGTAATTACGCTGAAAGTCTGAGTTCACTCTCAAACTAACCTCCTCATTATTGATCTGAGTAGCAACAACAGATTTAGATTAAAATGCAAAGTTAAACAGAGAATACATATCTGATTATTCTATCCGTAGAAATGCTTCGGGAGATGAAAGATGTCCATACCTCTGCGACATGACTGACATACTCCAGTACAAGCCCATCACCCTGTGATTTCTTCAAAACTATTCTGTCCCCTGTAAAGAGAGATCATCTACTTTTTCATGCCAAACAAATGCATGACATGTAGATTTGTTCATTTTCTATTTATCTGTATCTCACCAGAGAATAAAAATCTTGCAATTAAAAGCATCTTTTCCAAGAGATATTGGGATTGAAGACCCCTCACCTATGTTGAGGTTTGGCCTTCCCTCGGCCAATCCAAGCACTTCCAGGTGCAGGTACATGGCTCCTTTCCTGAGAAGAGCTCCACTGATGGCATATTCCCTCATTTCTCTCTCGGCGTGCAGCTCTTCCAGCCACAGAAGAGCTGAGAATCGTGAATGTACGTTGGATGGTGTGAGCACCTGGTGAGAACAGTTTGATACTCACATGTAATCCAGCCTTGAGAAGCCCAAATTCGACTGGTAACGGGCTCTAATGCAAATGTTACTTCCAAATGTATTATGGATATGCTCACCTCTCCAAGGCAAGGCTGGAAAACCAACACGTCCTTCTGTGTCTCTACACAGTCTCTCAGAGCATGAGGTACTGGAAAGTTTGCTAGGAAATTAGGCAGTCGCCGTTTACTGAGCCTGGAGGAGGGAGAGATGGTCTCAGCAAAGATATAACACAAACTCCCTTTCTCCAACACAACCTCAAATACAGGGATGCTGCAAAATTCTGCGTATTGAGGTTCACCACGCGAGAAAAAGTAAGAACACCAAGACAAAAAAAACTCTCTCACATAACACATGCAGCATCCATGTCCTCACTGATCTGTTGAAGAGCTAACCCTGTACCTCACACATCTGTAAGCTGTCACTGGAGCTCCCACCCCTCACCCAGAAATGCTCGGGGGGAACGACAGAAAGAGGCACAGAGCAACTTGGAAACAGGAGTGTGAGATAACAGCCCTGACAGATTCATGTTTCTCACATATCGAGTAGCTCAAACAACGCACGCAACCCTGCCAAACGCACGGTGGTAGTGTGAAACGGGACCGAAGCCACTAAAAATGGCCTCAAGCCACAATATTACACAGAACTGTGTGGTCATTACTGACCCCAGAAACACTTATCTTCATCTGACCAGAGGATGTCAGCTTCACAGGGTTTGCAGATGTAGGAACTCCAAGTAAATGATGACTGTAGGAGTGGCTGAATGGTTATGTCGTACTGGCATATCTGTACTATCTATTATTGTACTACATATTCAATTGAAGCATGATACCAAAATACAAAGGTTTAAACAAGGGGCTCAGTTTAGTTTATTTTGGAACTTCATTTGATGCCTCCCTGCTTACGCATTGCTAAAGATGAATAAATGACTTGGTTAAATCACTGCGACTGACCTTGGTGCATCTGCTGGAGCAGCCACCGTGATCACGTGAGAGGGAGTTTTTAAGAGATGGCGGATGTCACTGGGTATGTACGGCTGCGAGGGCTGCAGCAGCTTCTCCGCCTCACTGCCAACCGTGACCTCCAGGCGCCTCCCGATGGTGAAGGAAACAAAATGCAGCAGCAGCAGGTCTGCACAGCTTCCCAGGCTCCTAAAGAATAAGAATAAGAACTTGTTTTCTTTTTTATCAACATTAATACCAAAAATGCATTTAAAAACATAATAGAGGTTCTCATGTGTATGTCCATTTATTGTTTTATTGCATTTTGCAACTAAAAGAGCCTCAGAAGTAGGACTTACTTTGCATGGCAGGCTACTGCAATGGGCACTCTCTGTCCAGGAGATATGTCCACTTCTTTTTCCTCCCTTCTCACACCACTGGAGTGAACCGAGACTTTGGGAGTTGCACCATTCTTGTTGTCCTCCCCAACTTGTTCATCTCCAACTTGCTTTTCAGAAGATTCAGAGCAGCTCTCTCCTGAAGACTGAGGTCTGTGGGACGTAGGGCTATTGACTGAAACCACAGCGAACTGTTCTTCAGAGTCCCAGCCGGCAAATTCACAAGACTTCAGCCTTTGGTTCACCGAACCCTTGTTTCTGTGGCAGGAAGAAATGTGGCATACTTTTAGTCACATTTCTCCAAGACCAGAAATATGAACTATTCTGTTGGGAGAACTCACTGTATCCAGAGCACCATCTCCCGTCTCTCCCCAAACATCACATCGCCAAACTGGCCGTAGTCTGACACATCCAGCCCTCCTTTATTCTCCAAGATGTTCTTGAGTTCAGACTCTGGGAGAGGTGTACGAGAACTATTCACGCTGCAACTGATAGAGGAAAAAGATGGTAAATATAAGGTGTAACTAATTTCAAGTCCCTGCTTAAAACACTATTATAAGAGAGCCTTTACAGATCTTATTTGACTTTATTTTGTCCCTTTTATTTTATTTGACCAATTTTAGCAAAACAACAATTTTAGGCTGAATTCTCAAGGATGTGACAAAAAGAAGCATCTTTCAGAAACAAATAAAAAGCTCAACTTTGGCTACATTCACACTGCAGCCTGAAGTGACTTAATGAGATCTGTTCATGGGAGTTGTTCAGTCTGAACAACACAGATTGGATTTTTACAAATGCAACCCAGGCCACTTGGATATGTCGTCCTACATCTGATCCCTATCTGATCTTTTCAAATGGAACAGCCAAGTCGCTTTCATCTGACCAGATTGACAAAATGCCATTCTTCTGCGTCCTGGAAAGTGAAACAAAAACAAAAACCAAGACGGAAAATAATGCGGAGAACAGTCAGTAGACATTAATTGGTATTTGGGGGGATAGCTCTATCCAGGCCAGACTCCATGGGTCTCAGCATTGGGTGTTGTTTGCATTTCCCTAGAAAAGGCCGAGCATAAGTATAAATGTTCCTGGCTCCAATGCCGAAGAAAATAAAAGGGCCTCCAGGCCAAATGTAAGGAGCCCAAAGACTCAACAAAGGAAGCAGCCACGCAGGTGTCGCCTTTCCATTTCATGAAGAGCTGGATTGTAAACACTAAACACACTCGCACACGTTTAGGTTCATTTGCAGTTCACACTGGTTATCACATACAAGTCACATATATTTGGAAATGTGAACGACCGCGCAAAGAATTTTGATTTCACAAAAAATCTGATTTTGGTCGCTTTATAGTGTCAGCGTAGCCTGAATTGTGAATACAGGAATCATTTTGCATTTTTTCATTATGGAGAATCACCAACACAACTTTAGTTACAAGTTCAATAACTGTAATCAATACCTCTGAAGGCAGGGTGCCATGCACAGAGCCCTCCAACTGTAGAAAGACTGACCGCTCTCCACCATTACCAGGTTCACCAGGTCTCCTGGGGAAGGCCGATAGTTGGCCGGCAGCAGTAAAGAGTCCAAACTGAAGAAAACGCTGTCCTCCACCACTCCATTGTTGCCATACATGCTGGTCACACGCACCTACACATGAGATCGTCCAGTGGGGGAGGGAGGAATGAAAGTAGTTGTCCGATTTACCGAGAAACCCCATTCCACACGGATAACATTCACTTGAGAACTGCTACATATGGTTAAGGTTGGGCTTTGCTGGTATATTCTAACACAACAGCATAGTTACCTGGTTTTGACGACAATAACGCAAAGGGGTTACAGACTGAGCTTGGGTGGTCCACTGGGTAGGGTTGATGAAATATTTTGCTTGGACCCAATCTCCTTTCATTGGCTCATAACCTGTAAGAAAGACGCATCACGCCACACATCAAGACAGTTAGCAGCAATATTTAACAGACTTTCATCAAATTCACTCTCAATCTAAAAGCAGAGAAGGGATTTTAGCCTTAATTGTTCAATAAGAATTGTTGGCTGGGTTAGTTTTTTTACATTATGCTTAGTATCATGAAGATTTTTAAAAATATACCCTCTGAAAGACTGTGGCGTGGGAAGTATGTGGTCTGGTTTATGTAACCACCATTGCCATCAAATGATGACACTGTTCCTATAAGAGGTCGCAGCTGCATACTGTCATCTTCTAGAGAGTTTCTTCCTCCATCTTCCCACACATCATTGCTCTTCTCCACCTAAATGATAGAACTGAATGTTACATATCTTGCAGAATAAACTATAAAGTCACATGAGTAAAAAAAAAAAGGAGAAAATGTTACAGATGTTGTCTACCTATAATAAACCTCTGATGGACTAACACCAAATAGAGAAATTAGATGGACATCAGATGGGAGAGAACACTTACCACAACACAAATAGACCATTTTGGAGGTCTAAATGGAATGGAAAGCATAGGCTATGCTGCTTTTTGGATCTAAATGGGGTAGATTACTTACCCTTAGAGCTTTCCATCCACCTTCAGCTACACCTCTCACTGCTGTACAGTTCACCATGTCTCCCTCTTTTAGTGGTACCCCACCCAGGACTTCAGCACTTGTGAAGAAGACTGCATCGTCTATCAGGCCGTAATCCAGACACAGCTGCGTCACCACACTGCCCCGCAGGTGGCGAATGTCCTCGGTTCCTATCCGGCAGAGGGGGGGAAAGTGGATTTAAAAACCAAAGTGTTTGTTTGCCGCGTTAACTGGAACATAGAGAAATAACTGCATTTCCGCCAAACGGTCCATGCATTTTACCTGGGCCGTCAGAGAAAAGGCCTTCTTCGTCCACATGAGCGGCTCTCCACAGGGGAGAAACCAACTTGGACACCAGACACCGTACAGCACCAAGCATGGCTGCCAAGTGGCTAGCTCTGCAAGCTAAAGAAAGAGAACATTGAGAACATGTACACATATAATAACCGTGTTAGCTACCTAAAGACATTTTCTAAAATATATAACTTTATGTCGTACATGTGTGTAGCCGAAGAACATGTAACTCCTGGAATATAATATATTTTAAAGAAAAAGTTTGTCACTTACTTTAGCTACAGCGGAAATGGCTAATTAAAGACAAAAAGCCATTCAAAGCTTTCTTTTAAAGGAGGGGCATATGAATATGGCTGCGTTACCGTGTTGGGTTTAACATTTTGAACTGCTCACGTGCTAGGACTGAACACTTTAACTCGGTGCTTCACGTGACGTGCGCGCGCTACAGCTCCGCTCACGGTGACAATGAGAAATGCGGTGTGTCTGCGGGCACTGGTCGGTCGACCAACCGAGCGTTACCAGTAGAAATTATGTAAATCTCATTTTTTGGATAGTGGGGAACTCTAAACCATTTAAAGATGGAAGCCTACTGGGTGAGGTGCTCGAAATTGGCAAACATAGATAAAAACGATAAATAATTTAGTAACTGGTTCCAAAAATGGCTTTAACCAAGACGTGTGGTGTAATGGAACATTAATCAGATTTCCTCAAAATTCATTATTAAAATGTGGCACGTTACAATATACGACTTGACACAGCCATGTTTTCTTATAAGGATATGGACACCAAATTCTAAATAAACGTGTTAACATAAGAGGAAAACGTTTATTGGCATTTAATATTGGTAATTTGAAATGACTGTCCCCAAACCATACCACCATGAACATCAATAGACTAATTTGTATTTCATTAAGTGATATTTAGGCTGATGTTTTTTAATCATTTTTGTCATTCTTGATAGATTGAAATGTAAAACACTATAGCAGTCTCCATGGCAGAGATGTTGATTTGCAGCTGCTCCCAAACAGAATGTTCATGTATTCATTTTTTTTCTTCTTTTTTTAACTGTAACAGACAGTGGAAAGCAGTAAGACACAAACATAACAAATCTTAATATTCTTTCCAGGCCAACAAAAGTTTCATGAACACATCAGAGCAACCAAACTGTTGTATTTGACTGGATAACATAAGCCCTCCATAGACCCGTCATCTACTTCCCTGCTATTACAAATTGTTTAAAGTTATCATCTTGTCAGGAGGATGGTTGGGACTCTTCTAATTTACCTCATCCTTTAGTGGTGAAATCCCTCCATACCTGCAGCGTTATATTCTAATTTCCCCACAAGAGGGCAATGGTGGCTCTCTTTGTACATGGAACAGCCTCAGCCTCCACAGCTGAGTGCATGTGAGGCCATGAGAGGAAACAGATGAGATACTTGTCTCTGAGTTCGATGCTAAAACTGGACCGTCTTATTAGTTTTTGTTTATTGACAACAAATTACATGCAAACATATATCAAGTTAAGTCAGGACTACAGGGAGAAAACCATGTTCCCTCTATAATTACGTCTAATATTTCCTTTGTAATCAGCATCTAAATCATACAAGTACACAACCAAGTATTAGTGTAGTCATTGTGGCATGGCTGTTGTACACGATGTAGAACTGAAGATACCAAAATACTCTACAAATACTAAAATACTTGAATTGATAATAGAACTAACGTGATGTCAAGTGTGTGCGTGTATGTATGTCGGGGGGGAGGGGGAGGGGGGCAACAAGAAGAAGTCAGGCATGATCCCAAAAAAGATGCTTTCATCTCTGGGCCAAAGCTAATTTAAAAATGACCAAGGCAAGGTGGAATACAGATCCAACCGAGTTGTTATATGTAACCGGTGTAAAAGCCTGTATCTTTGATGTCATACGCTTGCAGTAATGGACTGGAACTGCTGACCTGTACATATAGGAAGGCACCATCAGATCTGAAAGCTGTGTTAACTTTAAAAAATATGACAAACACTCTGGACTGTTAACCTGATTTCTTAAATGTTCAGCCACTTAAAGAGTGTTTTGGAACTAAGCCAGGATGCTACACAGTGGGAAACATGGCCTTGTGCCACCTGTTCTGTGTTTCTGCCATCAAATTCAAAATAAGCCAACCAACCATCCATTTTTGGCACATTTTTGGTGTTGCAGGGAGGCTGGAGGTGAGAGACAAGGATCACCCTGCACAGATCACCAGTCTACGGCAGGGCCACAAGGGGACTGACGAGACAAACGCCCCTGCACACGCATGTTCACTCCTATGGGCAACTTGAGGTGACCAATTAAACTTCAAGGTGAACCATTCAACAAAGAACTGCATATCTCACTTTCAACACTCTTCTCTTTGGTCTAACCTGAATTATTTATGGCTTAAGGAGAGCTTCCCAATTTGGCCTTGTAGCATTAGATATGCTTCTCATTTCCAAAGGCCCTTGGCTTGTTAAGTCTATTTTTGCATAGAATGATGAAACACTGAGGGGAAATGGTCCAGAGTCTTTAAGTGGCGCTGTGTGAAGGACTTGTAAGAGTTGAGTTCCGTACCTGCTGTAGGCAGCAGTCTGAGCTCTCATGGAAACTCTCATGGGGGAAGCGAGCGGACGCTCACAGAGAGTGAGGAGGATCCATTAAGCAGCTGCAGCACATCTACAGGCACACAGCATCACTGACTGTTTTCAGTGGAGAAAATAGATACTGTTTAATCACCGGTCTGATGCATTAACAATGCTTTGTCTAAAAGAAAATCTATAAAACAGCATTTCCCACCTGTCATGAATATTTTCCGGTTTGTGTTATTTATGTCCCACTAAATCCTTCACAAGTACCTCACCAACCTGTGTCAGGTTGTGTGAAACATTAGCTCTGTATTAACTATCCTTTTAGAACAATTATTTAGAAAGGAGCGCTTGGTTATTTTCCTTTTAAGCAATTTTCTGCCAGCCTGATGCATTTCCGCTCCACTGGATCTATTCAACAGAGTTAGTTCAAAGTTATTAAGTAATAAATGAAATACAGAGCTAAGTCCAACATGTGAGTGATTAAGGCAGTGGTTTCCATTTAAAAGAAAACAAACTGATTTACATATAGTGGTAGGTTTCCTGGGTACATTTTCTAATGGTACAGGAGTAATAGTAATATTTTGAGCTACACATTTTTAAAGCAACCATAAGTCTCTTCAAAAGAAAAGTCAAATAAAAATAAATGAATATATTCTCTGCTTTGTTGGTGAACTACAGTAGCCTTTCGGATCTGAATATTTCTTATTTTGGGCTGTGTCTCATTCAGGTTTAGATTGTTTTTCACATCCCAATGGGTGTGATGTACCAGTTTGTGTTTGAAGAAAGCTGTAACCAATACCTGGCACGATTTTGTCTTTTGGAAATGTCTATCAGACAAACACTGGTTTCTGAACGATTTCCCATTAAGAAGCGTTTAACTCTTTTAAATCCATTGCTGTATGGATGTGGGGACGGATGTTTTTTTTAGGGTTGATTACCTCCTGTGCACGTTATTTGCGGCAACGCCCCTGATTGGTGGCAGAGCCATCAGAGACGCAAAAAAAGGATAAGAGCACAAAGAGAAAAAGGCATGAGAAAAAGACAGGGGAGGAGGAGGAGGAGGTCTGCCTTCAGAAACTCCGCCTCCGGGTCTCGGATCATCTCCCGGACCTCCTCCGCTGCCCCCCTCACGCTGAGGATAGAGAGAGAGAAGGGGAAGGAGAAAAAACACAAGAAAGGGCGCACGGAGAAGGGGAGCAGCGAAACGACCATGGCAATACCCACATCGTCTCAGCATGAGATAGAGTCCGAGCAGAGCGCACAGCCAACGCCGCTAACAGACGCACGGAGCCCGCAGACGCACCACAGACTCAGTCCAGAGGATGAATGAGGAGCCGGACCTGGGCCGCGGACAAAATGAGGGTCATCTTCATCCAAAACGCCGGTTTCGTCGCAGCTTTTTCGCCTTTCTCGTAACAGTGGCAGCGAGTAGGACGACAGATGATGTGAGCGAGATAGAATTCACCACAGATAGATCGTGCCAGTCAATCGAGGAGTGAGGAGACCAGACCAATTCATTTTGGCTTATTATTTTTATTTTTTTTAAATGGGACACAGCACCCATATTTAGCCAGTATATTGATATCGAAAGTGTTCAGCTTCCGGCATGTCGAAACCTGAATATTGACTATATTTTATTATAATATTGGCACTATAATGCATGCGATCATGCAAAGGTAGAGGAGTATATAGATATCAGGTTATTATGGAGCAACCCTATTAGAGCTCCATTAGTATGGATGATAAAAAGATGAATTGATAGAATCGAAGCCAATTTATACTCCCAGACAATCTGGAAATGTTCGTTTCCACATGTGATAACGTCACTAGCTTTATTTCCTGTAATTTATTTATTTATTATTAGGCTACTATCATTAGACCTATAAGTATTATTGTACCTTTTTGTTTCAGTATAGGTAGTTTAGAATATTTAACAGTGGGAAGAGCGATTAAACGCTTCCCTATTTTAAATGGCAACGGCTTATTTATCGCCCAGTCGAGGGCCCTGCTCCCAGAAAGGCCAAAGCGCAGGGGCCAACCCGGCGGCGGCCTCTCCTTCTCCCACACCTCCACCTCCACCTGCCGGTTCCACCCCCGGAGACCCCCCGGGGAGCGGCGACGGGCGGCGGAACTCGGGGGTGAAGAAGCACCACCACAAGCACAACCTGAAGCACCGCTACGAGCTCCTGGAGACCCTGGGGAGAGGCACCTATGGAAAGGTCAAGAAGGCCATCGAGAGGCACTCCGGCAGAGAGGTGAGCCGCGGCACGCATCTGCACACACCTGTGCGCAACTTGCGCACGCCTATAGCTGCTGCAGTCCCTATAGTCTGTAGTCTACAGACCATAGTCCGGTCCGAATTGAAGTGGAGCTGCTCTTAGGAGCGCGTGCGTGTCCTGGCCCCCTCTGGGAATTCCCCCCACGCTCAGAAGCAGGCCTCAGGGGGGGGTCAGTGGGCTGTGCAGCACACGCCTGGTCCTGCGCTTGGCCTCACGACCGGATGCCGGACCGCAGAATCCGGCTACTGGCTGACTGATGCCGGTTGTAGGAACCCAAAAAGCATCACAGAAAAATTGCTGAGTGGTCATCGTGCTACAATGTAGACTCACTACCTTTGGCTCTGGACATTCCAGGGGATACTGTGCACAATTATAGTGTAGATGTGTTTCACAAAAGCTACAATTTATGATAACCTCTCCAACGGTCAAGATCGTAGCGGCCATATATTGAGGGGTGTGCTCATGTTAAGTATTTCATTGTAGGCGATGTTTGAACAGGTCAGTTGGAGCCTTTTTTGTGTCTTTATTTGAAAGGACAAGCTATGTGCGTCATCGTGAATCACATTGCGCTGTTATGTCCTTGCAGGCCTGTACATCTTTCCATGTGATGGCAAATATGACCCATGTGCCCAACCTGGCAGGGCATGTGGAACTTTCCATGTAACTTAGTACAGGTCAACAATGTCCCCCCATGGTTTCATAGCTCCTGGCTTGTAAATGCTTTAAGGGGAGGGGGGGGGGAGTTGGGCGTCTGACCCATTTGTGATGCATATAACTTTTTGTTGACCACAAAAACAGTAGGCTACAGACAATGGATCGATTGCTGGATGATCATAAAACTTACTAAAGCTTAGTCCCTAGAGAGGTCATTTAGTAGAATATTGGTCACCAGATCCACATTTCTGATCGACTTCCAATGAAATTTCGAGAGTATAAACACATCAACATTCATTTGTATTTATGTCTCTCACGTCTGACTGGAATGTTTCGATTTGAAATAGAATGGTACAGACATCAACCGGCATGGAATTTGTGGGACTGCACTTCAGGGAAAGTCTTTAGGGAAGCAGTGTCTGGACATGAAGTTCTAACAGAAAAAGACGGCCTCATGGGCCACATGTGTCTGGCACTGCTTTGCTAGAGTTTACTCGACCTCTGGCCCAGACGAAGTCCCTCAAGTCCATATGGCAGATTCAGCAATGAGGTGGGACTCTCGTGCTGTCATCTCACTGCCGTTGCCTTTTCCTGGCTTATTCCATCCGACCAGTCAGAGTGGCAAGGCCAGGAGATAAACCAGGGAAGATATGTGAGTGATTGAGAGCACACATGTGGTAGAATGAAGTGAGGGAAGGAAGATTGACTCGATGTGGACACATTTACAGTATCAGTGAAAGTAGAACAGAGTGATTGTTTTAATCTGGATAGCCATATGTTGTAATGCCTGGCAGCTCAGTGGAAATCCAGTGTTGTGTGAGGTGCCGTTGATCACAGACGTCAGACCTCTTTAAAATGTGCTGCATGCTGATCTACATAGAAAGACACAGTATGACTTCTTATATATTATATCGCATAGCGAAAAGGTTAAAGAACCATACTGAAAAGGTTGCGCTGACAGCCAGATCTAAAATGGACACTGACACACGAAAGGCCATCCACAGTAGGAACTGAAGGAGTCTTAATATAATATGTCAAGAGAATCCATCACAGACACGAGGAGGCGAACGGCTAACACAGACTTAGAGGGAACTCCAGCACCATGTCAATAGAGGGACTGCCTTGGTGGAAGGGGGATACAGAGTCATATTAATGTTTGCTTAAAGTACCAGATTACATCATTCTCCAACAATGGCTTCAAAAGGGAGGAAAAAACACTGACATTCCTCTGCTATATGTGGTGCTGCTGATGAGGTATTTTGATTCCTGGCTGTGTTTGGAGAGAAAAGTTCTCCGGAAAAGTGACGGTCCTCTCCCTCCCACAAACTCTGACTCAGACCCAGAACGTCAGTGCAACAGATGATGATGAACCCTAACAACACAGGGACAGGTCAGCTTGTGATGAATACTTCATCTATTTTAATGGCCTGAGAAAACACTGGAAGATGTCAGGCTCCACTGAAGCGAGGCATTGACTTTCACTTCAAACATGCCCTTTTGAGAGCTACGTTTTTTTCTTTTTTTTTTATGGGGGGGGGGGGGGGGGGGGGGGGGCCCGCTCCCATACCTGGCAGAAGCCGATAAGAGCACTACTGCAGTGCCTGTTTATGGTGAGTGACAGTAATGAGGATCCACTTAAGGACAACCGTAGCTGTGTGAGCCAGACCAGTCAGCCGGGAAGTGGCTGATCCACGGTCCGGTTTAATGATCCTCGTCATGGCCAAGAGAAAAAAGGGGGATGCACTGGAGACACCTGGCTTTCTCTCAAACCCAATGTGGGAGAGCTAACTCCTTCAATAGGTTAGTTTAAACTGGCTGTTAGATAGTGAAAGGAGAGGAAAGCATTCCTGTTTATGCAAAACATTCCTAAGTGGACATTTGAGCTAGTTTGGTGCATAACTTCTGTTTTATGAATAATTGGCTTAATTGTTGAAGTCCTCATTTCCTGCCTCACTGTTGAATGTCTAGGACGGACACATTAAGTTTGCATGTAAAAGAACCCGCTGGGGTTGAGAAGAAAAAAAAAACAATTTGAACACAGCGTGTAAATCCCCTGACTTGTTTATTATAGTATAATTTCTTTAGATTCTGTGTAATCAAGTCATACTCTGGAAGAGAGCTATTCCGGTTTGGGGTTATTTTTATTGATGTACACGGTAATTAGCTTGGCACTGGCAAGCGCCTGTGGTTTCTGCTGCATGAAATAAAGTTGGGCTCCTCCGGAGGCTGCAGCTTAGCTAGGAGAGGACAAAAGTTTAAACCAACAGAATTCAAGAGTGAACAGACCCTATACAGACTTGATCAAAGGAAAACTAGGACTCAATCCAGAGTGTTTAGGTTACAATTAGAATGATGTGCTTGTCTGTGTACTCTCCATTGGTTTATTTACAGAGGGCCGCTAACCTCTCATTTAAGAAAGTGCATATGCTAGTGGTTTGAATGCAATATAGTTGTGGTTAGTGGAGCTCCGGTGACATTGAAAAATTGTCAAATCAAGAGTCGTTGCTAACTGTTGAGTCTCCTGCATCAGGCCTATTTAGCAAGACAAGAAGACTGAAACACTTCCGCAGCCTCTGTTCATTGTCTTTATTCCCCCATAGAACTCCCAGCTGCTTCAGATGGAGGCCATTAGTATTCTTAATCAGTGTCTAAAACAAGATCCAGGGAAATGATTAATGCCTCGTCAGGGACTTTTTGATCGGAGCGGAAGGAGAGGAACGTTAATAACAACAGTATGGTTTATATAGGAACCCTCCTACTTTCAAGACATTCGCACCTTCCTCATTGTTTTTCTCTTTGGTGCTTAAAATCCCCATTGGGGTTGTTGATGAGGATATCCGCCTGTCATTCAGAACGTCTAAAATCTGAATGATCTCAGTTACAAGTTTGCCCGTCATCGTAAAATGATTTCAGAAGCACAAACATCCATTGTCTTCAACTGCAGTAAAGTTTTTATAGCCTAAACCTTCACATCAGCTCAGATTTAGGACAGAAATCTAATTTAATGTGTGTTTGCAGTGGTGACTGCTGGTTTGTGTCACCTCTGACAATTTGTCAATGAAAACTATGCTAACACATTACAGTATGAAGACACAGTATGTCTTTGAAATTAGGTTTCAGCACAAAGCATAATGCACTGGCATGCCTTCGAAGTCTTACACCGTCTGAGATCACTATGCTTACAGCATTGTGTTGTGCAATAGGTGAACGGCTTAGATTTCTTTGAATATGAATGAGTGAAACACGAGGGAGGATATTGGGCAGAGCCATGTTTCACAGTGTGAGTCCACAGCATGCTTTCAGCAACTGCCCCTGAGTTAGATTTATTTCAGTGTTCAAAATAAGGTTTTGCTATAACTGGGCTCGGGCCGACAGGACCACGGCATTTTTGGCGGTTTTGTTTTGCTCACATGTTTAGCTGATGCTGACAGATTTCACATGGTATGCCGTTTGTGCTGTGCAAGGCTTGTGTAATAGTTGTAGCTGATAAGACAATTCATGTGACCTGAGTGTGGTTTCTTGCTCAAGTAATTTTCTCTGGTCATTGCATCATATTCGGTTTATTCCGGGGGAGGGGGAAGGGGGTTTTGTGTTTGAAACTTTGACCCTTCCTGCATGACACAAATGTCAATTCGATATTTGCCGGAAGTCATCTGATAAAAGTGGTTTCTCTCTTGTTTCCAGGTGGCTATCAAGTCAATTAAGAAGGAAAAGATCAAGGATGAGCAGGACATGGTGCATATCCGCCGAGAGATTGAGATTATGTCATCTCTACGCCACCCACACATCATCTCTATATATGAAGGTGAGAGTCTGGAGCTTGTCGGGGAATGCACACATGCCCAAGGACAAAACATAGACTTTTGTTTGACTTGTGCACGCATTAGCAGCAACAGACATGTCCAACGCTCTCCTAACTCCTTTTGCAATCTCATATTAAAACATGCAGATGTCATAATAGGTCCCACACTAGAGCTCTGGGATGTTATTTATCCTCCGTCTGGCTGCCCGGGCCAGTAAAAGTCAGGATGCCTTTGACAGTGTGTGTCTGGATCCCTGTAAGCATGTGTGCCTTTGTGCATGCATTTACATGTTGAAAGTTTGTATTTATAACAGGGGCGATATTCCAAAGGATTGCCTCGCCCACATCTGAAGGGTCTCATCCCATCTTTTTCTCCAGTCTTGATCTCCGCACCAGACATCTGCTGGTATTTAGGGATGACTGCAGCTGGGAACCAGACTCCACTTGTGTGTACGAGTGTTTGCTGTGCATGGTTACATGTTTTTATGTGCGCATAGCTTGGTAGACTCTAGGTTGACCTCAGTCCCCCCAGGTTTGCACCCTGTCTGACTCTGATCCAGAGCTATGCGGCAGGAGGAAGGCCATAAGCTTTCCTTTAAGAGACAGCAACATAATCCTACCTCAGGAAGCACCTCTACATTTCAAAGCCTTCAACTCAGGCTCAGACAGCACATATATTAAATGTTTTGGGGCCCGATTTCTGATTAACCCCTTTTGAATGACCCCAGCGTCACCACACTGAGAAGCTAGATTGAAATGAACAGTGGTGGTAAAGATAAAACTATTCCAATTGAGTTCAAAAGTAATTATCACAGTTAATCATCACCTATGATTTAGTATGACCTGCGTGCTGACATTTGAAGTCGTAATGTGCTGCAGTGTGATCTGGTTTTATCTAACTTTTTACCTATGAGTCTTTTTTAAGCTTTTGTCAACAAAGGAACAACTCAGTTGCGCCTTAAGTATTGACACAACAGCAACAGGTTGTGTGCTACTGCCCTAAGAGGCTAACCTACTGGCTCTTGTTCAGTTTCAAAGTCCGCAGAGCATTATCACCAGAGTATATTCAAACAAGCATCACCTTTTGTCATGGGAGCGTGCCAGTAATCAGCCGGAGGGACAAAGTGTCTTGTGAGGGAATGATTAAAAGAACACCCAGCTTTAGAGACTGTGAACCCCTTCTGAAGTTCCTGTGCATTTCTTTCGGAGCAGCCTTCTTCACGGACAAACGTGACCAGAGTCATTGCTCCCGCTCGTCAAACCCAGCGTTTACTGTTGTGGTCTGGCCTCCACCCAGCCCTGCTTTAGAGATGTAGGCTATAGGAGGCCCAGAGATTTGTGTATCCGGCAACACCCTCTTCAACAGCCCTTGCTAGCTGCCTTGTGTGAAGCAAAGCTGAACCAGATGTGCGCGTGAAGATTGATTTTTACCACTCCCTCACATTTTGCATCCGTCAGCATGCTGTGTGGGGCATTTAAAAGCAGATTTCGCTCTTTTCTGCGCAGTCACTGATATGCGGGCCTATCTCAGAGCTTCAGTGTTTAAACTTACTGTCAGCTCCGATGATTACTGTAAATGCACTAGTCGAGAAAAGAAACTGAGCTGTTTCTTCCATCTTGTGTAAATAGTGCAATTTTTTGTCATTTGCTTTGTTATAATGTTTATGCTAAACTAAACTAAAGGGTTGTTGCTGTGATCACGATCTGACTCACCAATTGTTTTGCTAGTTTAACAAAGCAAGCCTCTTGGAAACATTTACTTGTATGAATATATAAAAGAAGAAGAAGTCAGAGATTTAACAATTTTTGCAATCCATATGGAATTTGTTTGTGGAAGCCTTTAAATACTTTCAGTCATGTGTTATAGTAGCAAGGAGTTTTGCTTGTGTCTATTTATGTAGAATTCCTGGTAATAAGAGGGAAACAGAGGGGAAACCTTTAGATTGTCCCAAAAAAACAGAATTTCTAAAAGAGACCAGAGGCAATGTTTGTGTGAATCTGAGAACCAGGGAATCTTCATGTCAACGAGTAGCTACTTTGGATTTTTCCTTCCATTTGCAGTTTGTTCTGTAGTGATTTATGAAGGTTGTACTGAACCTTCATAAAGAAAATAAAATTAATTCTGACTTTGACGTAGATTCCATGCAACATCTTGTTGAATATTTCTTCAAAAGTCTACCTTCCGCCTTAAAAGATTGTGACTGCAATCCATCATCGCTGAAGGCAATAAGACAGAAGGTGCTGATTATTGAAAGATGAGGATGTCACCTGTGAGCAAAGTCCAAAAAGGGGAAAAACCCAGCTTATGTAAGCTAGGTAATTACTCCAGCACTGGGAGTTGAAGGTAAATGTGAGCACAAGCTGAGAATTGGCTATCCAAGCCCGAACTCATCAAGGATCAGTGTGAATGTCACCTCAGGTCGCCACTCCATCCACCAATGGGAAGGCTGGATCTGCTCTGCCCACCAGAGTGCCTGGCTTCTATCCTGTCTGCTATTTCCCAAGCAGCCAAACAGTCACAATCAGTGAGCATTACCATCACTCAGCAACTGTGTGTTTTTGTTGAGGATTATATCTTTAAAAGGGCCATGGGAGGGGAAGGGTGGGGGGTGGGGGGTGCTCTGAGGAAAGTAGTGTGACAGACTAAGAAGGTGCGCACTCAAGGGTGTAGAAAGTAGAGGCCCTCACCCCCGGTGACCCCGCTGTGTGGGAAATTCAACACACTTGAAACGTAGCAACATGAAATACTCTGTTGTTGTGATCATTTTCTGACCGAAGCTGACTCAGAATGGCATGTTTGTTGTCCAGCAGTGTAATGGAAGAATATCATATTAATTCAACCGCTATAATGTTACAGAATCAGCTCATGTGAAACAAGTTACGATTATAATGTGCGTGATTCTGTTCTCATACACACACACACACCCACACACACAAAATAATGTTATTGGTATCTATTTTAAAATTCAAACTTAAATTCAATTACAGTCTTGATTACTACTTTTATATGCTTCAGTCTTGTGAAGCCAATCACAATGTAATAAGCAATCCTAACTATAGACGGAATATTTTTGTCATGGCTGTGATATTAAAGTAAAGAATATCAAAGTAATGATAAAATCACTTGGTTTCACTCATAGTTAAAATTCAAGACATGCAGTTTTTTCTTTTTTCATTTATCAAAAAGAGGATGCTCTCGTTTGTGTTGACATAAGGTATCACATGGAAAAAGTGAGCCACAAACTCACAGTGATGGTTTGGAATCCTGGAGTGTGTTGTGAAAAGTACCAACATCATGTGAAGCTGAAATGCAATGTGTTAAGTCTATATTTTGACCCTTGGTCAGTGGAGTTAACTCTGCCTCTTCTCATGCATGGCTTGTTTTTGCTCGCTTTGTTTTTTGGACACATTTTTTTTTCCTTTTCTGCACTTGTTCCAGTCCCTGAAGATTAAACTTGATTGAGTTAACAGCCCCTCCCTGCAATGTTGTTTAGAAACAAGGCACATTAGGTGGGGTTAGGATGATGTAACCCTGGGAGAAGGGCAGAGAAGCAATGTGCTGCTCTGGAATCTAGAATCCAGCTCCAAAACTCAGGGGAGGTTGAACTGATTAACTCCTCTTACTACGTAACAGTCCCTTCTTTGAGTGTTGTCATCATGATAAAAGGCACCTGGAAGGATTTTGGATCTTGTTTTTTGTCGCTATTGTAAATCTAAGAATGAATGGATTCCATTTTTTCCCCCCTCATTTCTCAGTGTTTGAAAACAAAGACAAGATCGTGATTGTGATGGAGTATGCGAGCAAGGGCGAGCTGTATGACTACATCAGCGAGCGCCGGCGCCTGAGTGAGCGTGAGACGCGACACTTCTTCAGACAGATAGTCTCTGCCGTACACCACTGCCACAAGGTGAGAGCCCACGTCCCAGAGACAAAGCATTCGTACCATTTACTGGTCGAACTCGGGGTCTTTATCACGTCTGTGAGAGCCTTCTCCGGGCCTACTGTGCCCATCCATGCACCACGCCACGCACATACTGTACATCGGTGTAGCCTCTTAATCTGCAGGCCTTACACAGCATGCTTTTCTTGGCACCCTGGCGTTCGACTCATCTGTTTCTGAGTAAAGAAGGAACACAGGCCTGTTTAATTCAGGCTTATACTCCGATTACAGCACAGTGCAGCAGGCAGGGTTCACATTAACGCTGCACTCATACAATGATGGATGTCCCAAGATACCCCCCCCTTAGGCTTTTCCCCCAATGGATTTGATCCAGCCCACACCTACTACGGCCCATGTTCCACACCTAACTCCCATTAAAAAAAAAACAAGGTCAGAGGCTTGTTTGGACGGGCGCCCACTCTTGTCATGCTCATCCCAGCTGGAGATAGGGATGACATCACTGTCCTCAGATAGGAGAGTCCCAGACTGCCATGAATGATGAATCATCACCACCGAGCACAGCCTCCTGCCGGGTGGGGTGGTGTGAGTCACCGACACAACAAGCAAGCAATCACTTCTTCTTTCTGTCCACCAATCAGAGTCATATGAACACGCTAGACAGTTACCAAAGCGAGATGGTGCAAGCCGGCAGGGGGTGGATGAGTGAAGTCACTCTGTCTGTCTGTATGCCACATGTTAATTCCCAGACTTAAAAAAAACAAAAAACAAACAACAACAAAGAGACACGAAGCACAACATTTTTTGTTAAACACCCGATGATTCTCATGTGCTATGAGAACATCATCCATACAGGGTGGTAATTACAGCCCGATGTTTGTGTGACACATGCAAGCTGATTTAAAAAAGAAAATCACAGCAGATGTCAGCACAAAGACCCCAGAGGGGTAAGACCAATTAAAGGCTACCAGACCAACAGAACGCCTTGATTTCCCCAGAGAGCCACAAGCTCTCTTTTATGGAATAAATCATCTCCCAGTACAATAGACTGTTCATAAATAATAAATTATTGGATACATGCATGTGTTTGTTTCCTTTTGCTTATTTTCAGAACGGAGTGGTGCACAGGGATCTGAAACTGGAAAATGTGCTACTGGATGAAAACTGTAATATCAAGGTGAGTTTGTTTATCGATACGTGATCTGCTAACTATCTCTATATGGACAATTGACAAAAGTGGCCAGTGTATAATTCACCCGCCCCATGTTTCCACAGATTGCTGACTTTGGGCTGTCTAACCTGTACCACAAAGACAAGCTGCTGCAAACCTTCTGTGGAAGTCCGCTCTACGCTTCACCGGAGATCGTCAATGGGAGACCGTACCGAGGCCCAGAGGTGAGGCCCGCTGAACCACGCAGAGATGCCGACTAAAACCCAGCTGCCACAGTTTAAGCCTATTATTATTTATCACTCCTCCCTGGAAAACTGATTTTGGTGTGAGCCTCACATGCACCCTCGAGTTATATAACTTTCATCATGATTATCTCACACGTGATTGTGGTCATTGTGTCGTCCATTCACTAAGTTGAGGGCAAGCTTCGCTTTTTGCAGTGTCTTTGATGGGATTAGCTGCCTGTTAAAGGGAGGTCTTTTGCAACTCCACAGCGGTTCAGAGCAGACTCTGTCTGTGTCTCTCCCCTGTCCTGCCTTCCAACAGTGTTTTGGTCTTTTGAAGTGATGAACTGAAGGGTGCTGTTTGTGCATTTTTCCCGGGGTTTTGGAAAGAGTCCCACGGCCTCAAAAGAGCTGTGGAACTCACGGTCAAAGTTAGCATCCGAACAAATAGTTCTGGTTAAAGAAAGTCTCATAAAAGCCACTTAACTAGCACTCTGCGAGCGCATTGGTTGCAGAAAACAGGGCAAGGGCAGGCAAAGGGGGGGAAAAAAAGGTGCATTTTTAGATATTCAAGACCAACCATTCAATTTAGCGTGATTCACTGTAATTTACTCAGGGGCGCTAAAAGCTCCGACAGTCCAATCTACAGAGCCACGGTTGGGGTGAGGCCGCAAATTACAGCAACAAAAATAGAACACAATAGTGCGTGCCCTGTCACACCACTGAGTATGAGAATGGACCAGTGGCAATGGAACAGGGAGGCATTCCTGATGTGGGTCCAGTCTTGAGGAAAAGTGCACCAGGCCCTTAACTGGCCTTATCTGATTTCCTCTTCCTCAAGTATGTCCCAAAGCTTTAGCTGCAACTCAGTAAGAAACACAGAACATCCACGTCCTCCGTGCGAGCCACAGTTGACAAATCTTCCGTCAAATTTCCTCTCACACACCCACTAACAGAGAGACAGGTCTTAAGCCTGTATCTTGTGGATTGTCTGGAGCTCAGGGAATCACAACTTGAGTGTCTTTTTTAGTATTAATACTCGCTTCCTCTCCCACCACTTGCCCCATGGCTCTGTAGCTCCTGGAGCCTCACAATAAAAGTCTTATGTAACTTCTTCGACTGCCACATTGTGTTAAGTTGGTGCTCAGAAAGTTCACGCTTCTGCCTGACAGAGCAGGGAAGAGTGTGGGTGACTTATCTGTGTGGAAACTTTATATTTCCCATCATGTCACTGGCTATTTATCTTCATTTCTTTGTGAAACAAACTGTCTTAGAAGCTCTACATGATCTTTCGAACTTTGTACGAAAAAAGTTTAGTGGGCTTGATTATATCAAAGTTTTACAGCATAGCTCAGATCTCTAACCAAATGAGCAGAGCTGAGCTCATACCACATTGTAACGCCATGAATCACTACTTTTCGGAAAACTACATAGCCTATACATTGCATCACATCTCAGGTTTTTCCCTCTCCCCACTGAAAGCAGACATGAACTGTGAATATGTTGGTTCAAAGTAAACAAAACAAAATGGTGACCAGGTGTGTGTGCTCCCCAGGTGGACAGCTGGGCCCTTGGGGTGCTGCTGTATACCCTGGTCTATGGAACGATGCCATTCGATGGCGGAGACCACAAGAACCTCATTCGCCAGATTAGCAATGGAGAGTACAAAGAACCTACTCAGTCCTCAGGTACTGTACCAAATCCCACACATAACCCTTCACCAAAGACAATCAGAGACTATACATGGGTAAATTATTTCAGCAGAACATATATATGCATTGAGATCTAAGCATTATTTTTCATGTATAGTAAAAAAACAAAAAAACTAATTCAGATCATTGACAAGTGTGGCCATGAATTGTTTTATCCAATATAGATGAGACCATACCTATGGTAAATTGTCATTACAATCATTTTTATATCCGATTTGTACATACATTTTTTAAAAGGGAAGTTATAGACTAGAATAGCAAAAAAGAACACAATCAGAAATGATGTGATTCATGTAGTGTACCATTTAGTTCTGCAATGTGAAATTAGATGAGTTGCTGAAAAACGACTTTAGCCCTCATCCCTTCGGTGCAGTTAGCACTAGATGCGTAAAACTCACTGAACTTTGGAGTCTTACAGAGTGTTGTATTTCCTGTCAGATGCCCGTGGACTGATCCGCTGGATGCTGATGGTGAATCCTGAGCGCCGAGCTACTGTAGAGGACATAGCCAATCACTGGTGGGTGAACTGGGGCTGGAAGAACAGTGTGTGTGACTGCGAGACCCAACGGGACCACGGGGGCTCGCCCATGCTGGCTCGCTTCATCGACTGGCAGAGCCGCGCCGAGCCGCGTGGCGCCGGGGCCAAAGCCGCGGCCGTGCCCCAGACGTCCCGCCAGAGGCCCAAGAAATCCAAGAAGGAAAACGTCGAGTCGGGGCAGTCCCACAGCGGCGCGGAGGACAAGCCTGGTCTCAAGAGACCCAAGGGAATCTTGAAGACCAGGGTCACCGAGGAGCAGCAGTCGGCCGGCCTGGACGAAGCGGAGCATGGTCAAGCAGTTCTGCCTCAACAAGCAGAAGGTGGAGAGGAGGCCTCCAGCCCAGATCGAGAGGAAGAGGAGGCAGATCTGAGGTGCGGCTCTCCAGCCAAGATGGTGTCTACCCTACCGAAAAAAGGCATCTTGAAGAACAACCAGCAGCGGGAATCAGGGTACTACTCATCCCCGGAGCGCAGCGAATCCTCCGAGCTGTTAGGGGGCGCCAGTATGTCTCTGCTAGCCACGTCCCCGCCCAAAAGGCTGATGGGGAGGAAGGGTATCTTGAAGAGGAACGGCAAGTACTCCACCTACAGCGGGCCGCCGTCGCTAACGGCCTCGCAGGGAGTCCTCGGCGAGCCCCCGCCTCCTGCCGACTCCGGCTTGTCCCGCAGCCAAAGCCGGCCCTCCAGTATCGTGGGGGAGGACAGCTCCGCGCTGTCCCTCTCGCCCACCTCCCTCAGCGGGGCCGAGTGGCACCCCTCCACCCCACACCTGCGCCCCAACATCAGGGCCTGCGTCTCGGCCGAAAACCTGCTGCAGCTCGCCAACTTCCAAGGTTTCCAGGCCGCCCCGCCGCTCCAGGGACCCAAGTTCAGCCGTGGCCCCAAGACAAAAGGCTCCCCCGGGGACAACGGCAGCTTCTCCCTGCTGGGGGATCTGGAGGACATGACTCAGGTGTACCAGCAAGCCCTGGACATTAGCAGCAATTTAACCTAAGAGACGGGAGGCAGAAAGAGAGAGGCAGAGGGATTCAAACGCGACGATGTGTCTTTGTAGGGTTAGGGTTAGTTCATGTGCGTGTGTGTGTGTGTGGGTGTTTGTGTGTGCGCACTGAAGTAAATGCATGGTATTAACGACCAGTGTGTTGCTGGGATACACCTTTAGGGAGGTTGTGGCTTTTCAAATGGGGCTGAAAACTTGATGCAAAAGATATATATGCGCTCACACACATTCGCGCACACACACACACACGTACACGTACACGTACACGCTTAGGTGCACTTCCCTGGCCAGAGGAGATTCAGTTCAGGTTGCGTGAACAGGAGAGAGTCAGCGCTGGCACAGGAGAATGCCACCCAGTCTGCTCTCTCGGCCCGCCCGGAAACTTCGCTGCGTTCAACATGTTTACATATTCAGCAAGAAGGCAAGTTAGAATCACAAACGCAGCAACCAGAAACTGGTTGGCTCTCCTGCTGTGCCACCCATTTCGAAAATGAGTTTACGAAAGCACCTTAAAAACTCACACAGAGCACACGCTTTTGTGATCTTTACTTCCTTTTAAAAAGAAGAAACAAACCAGGGTCTTGTTCCAAAAAAATGAAATAACATTACTGATTTATTTATTAATATTTTGTAGCTTTAGTTTTAGGTGAAAACTGGTGGGTGCTGGCTATTACTGGAAGAGTCCAAAGCTCCTTATCTCCAAGTCTTTGTGTGGAACTGACATATATAATTGTGTTACTCTGCAATGAGACACACGTATATGTATACTCAACATATAGACCTACGTCTGCACATGTAACACATGCAGGCTAATACACCCTCTCGAAAGCGTATGTCCTATATATGTGTATGATACTAGAGAATATGTAGGAAGTGCCTTTTTTTGATTCATAATTTTTTCTCTCCAAATTATGTATGTCATTTCCTGAAAGTGGAGAGGAAAGCCAGGCCACTCTGTTCCAGTTATATCTTTTTTTTTCTTGTTTATGAATGTGGAGAAACCCAGGGCCTTCAGAGCATTGCTGACCAACCTGACCAACTCTTTTTAGGGTTTTAAGGCAGTCAAACTCAAAGAGTCTCATGCGCACCCCCTACCCGTTTTCTTTTCTTCTCTTTTCTTTTCACATGTACCTTCACACAGAGATACACCAGCGTATGCAGGCCACCATAGGAAAAATAGTCTTCTGTGTGTTCTTTGTCCGTGATTAGGCTCATACTGTGGTTTGTCAGCGGTCTGGGCTTGGTGGAACACAATTTTTCTGGCTGCATGAGAGCTCCGATGGGGCTCACCTACTGAATGGAGAAGGTACAGACACCCTTTCACAGTCTTGGAATGTGCCTGGATTTCTTAGCCTTGCTTGCTTGTGAGTTAAAGATGCTTTTTCTTTTTTTTTTTTTACCAAAGATTTGTCAGGTGTTTTCCATTGTTGGACTAGTTAATGTTTTACCCGCAGCTCTTGAAAAGGGCAAAGTAAGGTGGTTTGTTTTTTGCTCGCCGATGACACAGCAAATTCCTCAGACAAAAGCGGGAGACGTGTTGGTTCTGGAGATTTCTTATCATCCCCGGGCCCGACTCAGCACAGGTGGGATCAGCAGCCCATGCTCAGCCCTCCAGCTGTGTATACTGGTTCATAATGTCAACGCAGCACAATTAGCCAGCTATTGTTTTTATTTGAGCGTGAGAAGGAGGCAGAGTGTGCAGATTTGTTGCTGGAGGCAGAAAAAGAGTGTGTGAAAGAGAGATGCAACGCAGCGATTAGAGAGGGCTTTCCTGTGAATTGCAGGAGGTCAAGGTGTTAGATTTATTTATTAAAGGATTTGTAATGTAGACTAGAGGACGGACAGAAAGTGAGTAGAAAGAGTTGATGGAAAGTTTTTTTTGTTTTTATACCAAAGATTGTGAAGGACTTGGACATGATTCAGGGGAATTGGTAAATCGGCTTTGGTGGGAGTCTATAGGATTATTATTCTCCCAGGTCATTTCCCATTGGTGTAGGGGATTGTCTCCACACAACTTAGCCTTACATATGTTTTATTTTTCCTTTATTACATGCATTTAATACAGTCTGTGTAATGTTTTTCAAGCAAGTATTTTGACCCCCAAGGAAAAGGATCCCATGTTGAACGTTCAGTGGTCAGCTCATGTGAAGAAAAGGTCCTGGGTACGGAGTCAAATGAAAGACCCACTGCGTATCACATTGCATTTTATTGCTTTTTGTATTGCATTTTATTGTCAACTGGATTTACAGTGAAAAAAAATTATACTATGTTAGTATTTTGTTTTATTATGCTTCTGTTTTTGATTTTCCAAAATACAAGAAATGTTGTATTGCTTTATGAATGGCAGAAAAATACTTCCTTCCTTGAAGTATTATAAAGTCTCACAAATCTGATGTGAAATTGGCGTGATCTCTTCTAACCGCTATTTTCCGTCTACCTGAGGGTTAGATCAACCTCGAATGGGAAAACAAAGAAAGCTTTGACAATGAAAGGCTTATTCGGTAAATAGCTAAATTAAATATATTATTCTAATATGCCAAGAGCATGAGTAGGCCAAAGCATGAAAAGGCCAAAATGTTTGAACACCACCAGAAGAAAAGCAATAGAGAGAATTTGATGATGAAACCTTATCTCTGCCAAACTGGAAGAAAGTGGTGCATATCTGTTAGAACGTCTAATCATAGGAAAACTTGACTGGATATTTTGATGACAACCATAATAATAATAAATTTGTATTATTATGTTATTTAAGTATTATTTTCATAACAGCTCATTACTTTTGCTGGCTAGTGCCACAATTTTCTGATTAATAGTTTTTGCCTGTGGGTGATCCTGGACTGCCAAGGTTTATTAAGTTGGGTGCCTTTGGTATTTTCTTTTTTTTTGACAATGAAAGTTATCAATGTGTTTGTTTGTTATTTTTTACTTGTATTTATTGATCAAGCCATTTTAAATAGTTGTCAACAATACTCTGTGTGAAATGCTTTTGCCTGTTTCGGACTGTGTTTTGTTGTTTAGGACGCGCTACACACAAAACTACATTTTAAATTGAGTGGTATCATCTCAATGGGGAGGCGGTAGTCAAGTGACTGAGTGTTACGAGGAGTAAGAAGTCAAGAAAAGTTCTTGAAATCCTGTAAAATGTCTTAATTCACCATTCAGGTCAACACAATGCCCATGTAGTACTGTATCAACCCAAATAAATGGATCTTGAAAGTTCTCTGTGTTAGTTTTTTCTGTCTTTTCACTCTGTGTGAATTGAATGGTTCTTGGCGGTATAAACTAGATGTATTCTTTAAAGTTTCCTCCAAAGACGAAGTTTGTCATTTTTTGAAAGTCCTGTTTTTCTTCTTATCTAGTGAAAGAACTCACTAAACATGCGAAAAGTGCCACAAATACTTCAGTTTCTTATCCTCTTAGTAGGGCATGTACCAAACCATCATTGGAGACATGCCCTGATTTCATTTCCTTATTAAGAACTTGTGACCCAACAGACCTCATTGATGCCTGAAAGAGGTCAGCAGTAGTGTCCTGATTTTCAAAATCCGGAAATAAAATATCTTTGGGCGAACTATTTCTGTAAACTAATGACAGTTTCAGATAATACTGACACACTTATAGAGATTAAGCATTAACGTCATGGCCCGTTACAAGCGGGCAGCCAGCCTGAAGAAAGCAGTTCTAATGAAACTGGGCCTGTTTTGGAAGCTGATATTAGCCAATGTTTCCACACAGCCCCAGCAGCTGGAGTTTAAATGTAATTAACTTGATGGATGCTAAAGTATTACTCCACCCAAAATCTATTTTTCAACCATTTAAATGTCATTGGCCGTGGATTTGAGAGGTGGCTGTACGACGGCTCAGTGGCTCTGGTCAGCATCAATTTACACTCAATTTCAACAGTAACCAGCTTTTAAAGAGGAAACATAAATCAAGGCAGCCTGTGGACTCATTTCAAGACGCCTCTGCTTCTCAGTCCCCTGGAGGTTTATCTTCAAAACTGAATATATTCATACAGAACTTAAGTTAAGTTAAGGCTCACGTGCCTTTTTCTTCTTATTGTTTAACAAAAGTGAAGGTGTGGAAACATCGTGGTGTTCACCTCATGCTCTTCCACACATTATTTCAAGGCTGCTTGATGAAAATCTCTAAAATAAACCTTGTTTACAAATCTTCTAGAGGACAACTTTGTTCTTTTTATTCTACCTATATCAAGCAACCGTTCGAGGATTCTCGCACACTTTGTGAAATGATCACAAAAAGTCTTTTACCTGTTTTAACAGGCAGAACAACTATGTCTGAAGGCCCCATGGTGTGGAATAGAAAAGTTAGAATGACTCAAGCAGAACGCCAGATGTCTCACTCGATGAACCAGGTGACTTGATTTGATTCAAGCTGAGGGATTTCTTTCATTTAAGCAGTTGTTTGGTTTGGATGAAGAACCCACGCCTCTTCTCAGGTTCAGAGAGATGCATGAATGCTATAAACCATTTTTATTGTTCATAGGGTGGTCAGTTGGGCTTTTCTGTAAGAGAAAAAAAGTGCAAAAAAAAACAACAACAAAAGTGTCCACAGACAAATAGAAATGGATAAAAAGGATCATTTTGCATGATAACTCATCTATTCTAGAAATTATATCAGCGTCCAATTTTGAGCCAGCACCAATTAAGAAAAGGAATTCAGTCCAGCTGCAAATTTCATGCTCAACAGAATTTCTCTTTTTCTTTTTTATTTCTTTTGAAAAAATGGCAGGACAAAACCTAGAGGCAGCGCCCCATTCACCTGAATGGAGTTTGAAAAAAACAACAATTATAAAACAAATACTAAGTGCAGCCCTGTGACAAAAGTCTTAACACTACATCTTAAGTGAATACGTTTTGGAAACCAGCTCACCTGCTCATAATTATCTAAAAGAAAAGAGACTAGAAGAGCATTTTGAGGTCTCTGGAGAAGCAATTTTATGGTCATTAGAGGACGGCCAGAATCAAACAAACAGCAGCACATAACACGGGCGTCTGGCTGGGAGAAGAAAGAAGCGCGTCTGTTTTTAGGACTTGGACAGTCAGTTGATTGTCGGGGGAGAACATTGCTGCTGCCGCTGCTGGTGGACTAATTTGATCCACATTTTGCGAAGGATAGTGGGTGGATGCTTGGAAGCTCTGCAAGTTTTGTTCAGGGCTTTGGTACTGATGAGCAGGACGGCGACCACTAAATGACATCGCAGTCTGATTTAGGTTTTCTGAGGCCAAACCCTTCCTCTGTTTTGGCAAACTCCTCAAAGCAGCAAATGTGAGTTGAGCCTTCAATTTGGAAATCCCTGCTTTATCAATATTCATTTTGGCCAAACAGAAAGCGATCTTAAGAAAATGACATACATTTTCATCCAAGGCTCTCATTGTCTTTGGAAAATGGAAATAATTACCTTTAGGCATTACAGAGTACGAGAATGTTAATTCTAGGGAATCCATGGTAAAATAGATCTAATACATCTTGTTGAGGACAAACAATAATAGAGACTTGGAGTCTCAGAACTATGCGGCTATTTGCATGCCCAAAGTAATTCATTTTCATTACAGAAAAAAAACTGCCATGAATAAAATAAAAAAGGTTTTTGAAACCTCAGCTGCTTGCAACTGATATGATCTGACTTTCAAAGGGATTTTTTTTTTATGCCTTCAGAACAATTTCTGTCTCACTTTTTGACCCTTAAATAAAGTCCAGCTGCTGGACCTCCTGAACTATTCCCTCCTCCCCCCCCCCTTCCTCCCTGCATCTCCAGAAGGTGAGCGTGTTTGCCCCTGAAGGTGGAGGGTGAGGCTTTTACGGGTGAGGAAGGCGTATACTCAGCCACAAACTCCAAACAACCGCGCATACCTCCCATCTGTTCCTTTTAGCACGACCCTACCTCTACGCCCCGCAGATATGGAAGTCTGCATAATGACGGAGGATATAAGCTATCCTTCGCTTTTTTTTTTGCTTCTCGAAAAAGGGGGCCTCTCCTCTCACGGCCCCCCTCGAGCCGCGACGGATAAAAAAGCTATCACACGCTGAGGGATTTGGAACGTGAAAGCTGGACAATTTACGTCCACAAATCAGTTTACAGCTCCTTTTTGAGTATAGCCTCATACGAAGAAACAAGAGGACATTCTTCAGCTTTACCAGAGAGCGGTGAGCGTCCTGGCGGGGCCAGAGCTGCATTTGACCGGCCCTGCAAAGCCCTGGACGTTGTACAGTGAAGGTCCAGCGTGGCTGTTGCAAGCTGAGCTGCATGTTCGTTGTAGGAAAAATAAACAGAAGGCGAGGCCCAAAGAAAAAGCCCCGACTACAGCGAGGCATGTGTTTCTTCGGTTAACTGACACGTTGTTTTTGGAATAACAGCCTGGGAGGCCGCTTTCCAAGCTTTCAGAACGCACAAATAGTCTGAGCACGCTCACATTTTGAGCTCAGGCTCCCTCTTTTTCCTCGCTCACACAGGTTTGTATCTCACGTCCCTGCAGGACTCCTTTTCCTCTGCACCGCTGTGATAACATTGTGACTGGATATGGAATTAAATAAACCTCCCTCCTTTTCCTGCTCAGCTTCTACTCCTCCATCATTCATCCTCCATCCAGCAGCGCCCTCCGCTCTCTCCTGTCCGGAGGACTATTTTTAGCCGCAGCGCTGCTATTCTGGAATTTGTTGCTGACTGGCTGCTGCTGGGTGTCTGGGCGGTGATCTCTTCAGGAATGTCTGGCCCATTCTCAAACCACTCCAGAGTCCCAGAGCAGGGCGGATGGCTCTGGGCTCTGATTACAACGTTAAGCCCACTGTAGCCGAAGCTCATTCTTCCTCCAGTGAAACACGAGGCTGGAAGCAAAGGGAAGAAATGGTCTCGGTTCTGCACCGGTAACATCTCGCACGAATGTTTTTTGCGTTTCTATTACACGTCGTTTGGAAAGAAGAAAAAAAGCTATTTCAAAATCCTAGTGGGACAAAATGTTGTACGGAGAAAAATAAACAACTGACGTCAAAGGGGGACAGTTTTGATTTTTCTTTCTGTAGAACTTTCATGAACCCTTGTTACGTTTTTAGACACATATTCTATTCTTTGTTTTTTGGTTTAGCCTGATAAAGATTGGCTTTAGCCCTGTTTTTTCAGAGTCTACAGCCCTGAATTGAATCAGAGCCACAAACAAACAAATAAAAGCAAAGCACTGATCATTTGTCCCAAAGTGTCCAGCTTTTCCTCTGAGGTAATGGTTAGCCGTGTCATGGTTCCAACTGAAGTCAAATCCAAGGGGAACCGGGTGAAAGTCAAGGCAACGTTGCACTGCTTACACATTTTGTGTGTTTGGATTTGTATACGCTTGCATGTGTGGTCCGTGAAAGGAAAACAAGCAGCACTAATGGGAAGTTTTTCCTGTCTTGGACCGGGGCTTAAGGGGTTTCAAAGCAAAATTGTTTGCAGTGAAGGCACTGCCGTCCAAGGCCACCTGCTGCTCCTGAGTGCAGAGATCTATTCGAGCTGAAACCCTGTCGGAAAAAAAACAGGCTGCTCTGTGCCACTCACTTACATCAATGAACAGAATAGACCCACTCATTCCTTTAGATTACCCGAGCAGAGACAATGCTGCACAATCCGACATGTGCATATCAGGCATGTCTTAACTGCTAAGAATGTAAGAGACACAGTCAGCAATCATTTCTGAAAACTGTTATAACCCAAACATGACAAAGAAATTTAGAACAATCCTCCTGTTTGGCATTCCAGTGAATCATTGCCACATAGAGATATTTTCCTTGAGGCAACAATTTGAACCCAAAGGGTGTCATTTAGTGCATTCATCGCACTTAATGAAATAAACTTTGCTTGCTAAATCACTTTGAGATTTTTTTCCGAACAGGGAGTGGTTTCCTTAAGACGAAGTGATTTGGCCATGAGCAGCAGGGGAGTAAAAATAACACAATGAGACTCGGCAAATCCTTTTAAAACTTAAATGTGTGCAGCTTTCATTCCTCTTGGAGTCCCGAGGAGGAGAAATACTTCTGTTGCATGTAGTCCTTTCATCGTAGTACCAGTCAACGAGCTCCTGATACCATTTCTCTTCATAAAACATCTTGCTGTAGTTAGCATTAGGACGTAGCCATGAAAGTAAGAAAAAGGAACAGTCAGCACTGTGATCATGAAGGGGGCTAATTGGTCTTGGCTCTTATTAAGGGGATGTGGGTTTAGATTC